TCAATGTGACAGCCTTCCCACTAAACACACTATAGGATCCTATAGTATGGATACAAAAAGATCATATCCTATAACTAAAGATTCATTGTCTGTGTGTTTTCGTCTGTTTTTTTCTGAAAAAGTGGCATCAAATCATCCCAAACACGGTAAAGAAATTAGTTTTTTTCCTAAGTGATAAATGATACGATGCAGAAGGCAGCTGAATTTTTTTGGCACGAACGCAGCCATTACCCTCGACTGCTTCAGCATGAATTATTCAAGCTAACATTTAGACATTGTATTATTTATCGAAAAGTGCCACAACACTTAAACCAGATGGTTTTTATGCTGCTAACTGAGCTAGCATCCCGTCGCTAAGCATTTAAAGCTGCGATACGCGACTCTACCCGGCTGCAGTCCACAGCACCAGACGCTCAATTTCTCAAAAGGTTTTAAAAAAAAAAAACAACAATCAGATGTGATTATTTATAACTACAAAGACTTGTGGGATGAGGACATGTTTGTAAAAGGTGAGTCTAAATTTAAGCCCACTCGTCTCCCCCTCCCTGCCTCTTGCGTTACGTAACATCTCGCTCCTCGACGGCCTTCCATTTCAGGAGACGCAAAACAAACATAACAAAAACAAGTTAAAATGTCATTATGTAAACTATAAATGTTTCTCCTTTTAACTTTCCAACTGTAGGAGAAAAAACAAAACAAAATGAAACATGAACTTCAATACTAGTCAGTTATGATTTTAAGCTCAGTGGGTGTTTGAAGGTTTAAATAATGGATGGGAGGCTTTCTGGTTTCATTCTCTCCCTATAAACTTTTTATTGCCTCCTTGTTTTTCAGTGAAGAGTCAACCACTTTTGGTATTTTCAAAGAAACAGCTCAACCTCTTCACTGCCAAATACCCTTAAAGTGGCTTGCAAAATTATTCACACCCCATATTCATATTTTGTCCTGTTACAACCACAAACTTTGATTTATTTCAATGGGACTTTCTGTGATAAAACAACACAACACAGTGAATAACTGTTCAGTAGATTACAAGCTATGGGGAATGTTATGTGTTATCCAGCCATATCATTTTATAGAGCCATCAATTAACTATATATGAAATATGACGTGAAAGAAATGTTACTTCGTAGTTCGGTGCTTTGAAATTGAGCCTCTGTCTGAAACTCAACATGGCTCCTCTCCTAACCCTTTGTTATTTTTATATTTGTTGGCGCAGGGGTTTAGCACAACACATGTATGGAGGCCTTAGTCCTTGATGCAGCGGTCGCAGGTCCGATTCCTGGCCTGGTGACCTTTGCCCCCCTTCTCTCATCACCCACTTTCCTGTCAATTCACTATCAAATCAAGGCCACTAGAGCCAAGAAAACCTTGAAAAAGAAATAAAATGAAACCTGGGTGTAAATTTAAGCTGGAAGACTCTCTTCACCTCCCAGCCTATCGTTGCCCGTCTTCTCCTCAGCTCCTCTAATCATCAGGCATCGCTCCCTTCGTAAGGTCCTATCAACCCACCTCCACCTGTTCTCCACCTTTAGCTCTCAACTTCTTCAGTCTTTTTGCTTCCTCTCCACCACCGGTGTCCGGGCTCTAATCCTCAGTGGCTCATTCTCTCTGACGGCGGTTATCGGTGCTACGTCAGGTGTCGGAGCCAGGAGGCTGGCTCAGCGTGGTCAATCACCCTCCGTGTGACGCTGCTCATCCCTCCCTGAGCAGAGCCAGTTGTGAATGCTACGGCTAATTAGCATAGCCACAGATGATGTCAAATAAGCAGTTTTCTCCAGAGTCAGCACATTTAGCAGCACATTCAGGAGAATGATTGACAGCACTGAGACCCTCCCTCTGGCTCAGATCGGTTGTTTTTGGTCGGGAATGGTTCATTTCTGCAGAAGGCAATAGCAGCTCAGGGAGGAGATCAAGCTTTTTACATATTATTGGTCTCATAACAAACTGTCACAACATGGTGACAGTTTAAACATACATGTAAATTATAAAAATACATGTATATATATTTTTTTGTAAACGTTACATACTGCAGTTTTAAGAGCCACTTGTGGCTCCAGAGCCGTAGGTTAGAGAACCCTGACCTATCTCACATAAATAAATATATTAAAAAAAATTGTTGGGTCTCAGCAAAACGTGGAAAAGTTGAAGTAGTGATAACATTTGATCGAATTCGCTGCACATGCTCTCACCCCAACAACGACTAGCCAGTCCTGGTTTGTTTTACAATCAGCTCCCCTGGTGCCGGCTGGTTGACAAATTATACCTCCCCGTGTTTGTGGGTCTGCTGTCTGTTACCTAAGATGGTGACTCATTATGAATGTGGGCCTGGGGGATTCCCCACAGCGCATGGAAGAAGAATACGAAGCATGCTTCTTTCACTTCACCTTCTCTGGGGCGCCGGGGGGGAAGGGAGGGATGCACAGTTCAGCCGGTGCGTTCAGACGTGGGGAACTGCACACAGACAGAGGTCAATGGCTGAAACCGAAGCGTCGAAACGCAGCGCGGTGACAGGAGCGGAGCGTCGACAGCGACAGCGAGCCAAGGATTAGAGCTCAGCTGAGGTTCAGCTCGCTGGCTGTGTTTGTGGAAACTAAAAGCGGTCTGGGTGTGGGAGCAGACGCTGAAGCAAGTTTCCCCTGACCGCCACTGAAACAAGGACACCACAGTTACCGCCGCCCCCAAACAAAGACTCCATTGTGCATTTGAGCTTACAGTAGAAAGAACAGAAGAGAAACAAGCAGGATGTTGCATGACTGCATGAGGTAGAGATAGAGATAGAGATAGAGAGAGAGAGAGAGAGAGAGAGAGAGAGAGAGAGAGAGAGAGCAGCCCATACAGTGAAGTTAACACTCTTCACAAGCGCTGTATTGTGCTGTTGCATGGCAACTGTTTCCACAGAAATCCTTGCTCAGAAACACTCCTCTTAGGTCGTCACATAACTGCAGCGAGCGGAGAAATGGGCCGACAGCAGGAATACAAATAAACCATTTCGGCCCGCAAAAGCTGAGCAGTTATTGAAATTGCTCTTTAGAAACGTTTACGCCAAAAGCGAACAGCGAAGATTAAACATGTAGTTTTCTCACTGTGCAGACTAAGCCTGGGTGTTTCTGGGTTTTAATGTGTCACATCAGATGCAGAAAATACTGATTGCAGAGAACAAAAGCTAGTTCTGAAATAAATCCCAAAACTGTAACGTTTCTTCAATTTAGTTTTGCCTAATAGAGTAACGAGTTGACATGTAGGCCATTCTGGGGAAAAGTCAAATTAACCAGCCTTAAGTGAGAGAAAAATCCATTGAAATATTTATTTCTCTATTAAGAAATATTCACATACCAATGTCTCATCTCATTTTTCATTTCTGGAAAAAGAAAAGTGAGCAACCCTGAAAGCATAAAGGTGGTAATGGACGAATAAAGAGAAAGTATTTTAATCACACATAAACAACAGAAACGTAATTGTGTTTGAGTCACATGTGCAAGTATTAAACTTTCTTCAAAATGCTGAGACAGGATAGTGAAGAACCTAAAGTAATATGGTGCTGTGCGATTTTATTCACTGATGTGGGGATAATGTAGGCGCATCGCCATTCATTTCTCACCACAAACTGGCTTTTTTGGTTGTTGTTGTTGTTCTACAGTATTTGGTTCAGTTTTGAATGTTTGGTTACTTTACTTGAATTCAATATAAAAGTCATATTAAACACCCATTGGTCAAACTATATTAGAAAACAGGGTTTTAAAAGGGTATAAATTAACTCCAATATAAATCTCTAAACTTGACTGTAACAATGTAGCATTTCTCTATTTAATGCTATTTGATTTAATTATTGGTTGTTTAGCTTTATTAATATATTACAGGGGGGAAAAAAGACTGCCTAACTTTGACATCTAGGTACTCAAACTTAACCTAAACAAACTTATACATTTTTTTGCCTCAATAAGAATGATTGAAGTGTTTCTCCCAGAGTGGCAGGATCTGTTTTTTTTTGTTGCTAAAAACCTAACTGGCTAATGCTGATGCTATATGTTGGTTAGCATGTAGCAGAATGGATTTATTTTTGAGATGTAGCATTTTTGGCTATATTTGACATTAAAATTAAAAAAAAAAATCAACAAGTGTTAAAGTCTCATTTACTTTGTGGCTACATGGTGCTGCCTGTAACACCTGAAAGCAGTTTTTCATATTTGTTAGAAATTCTCTCTCTTTATTAATAACATATTTGGGTATGTATCCTTTAGAGCGATTGCTAAATCATTTCTGTGACACCAGAAATATTTTTATAATTTCTACATACTGTATTCTCGTCATAGACAATCTTTTACAAAATGCGCAACCTTGGAAAAAAATCCCAGTGCACTTTCCAACAATAATCAATGTGTTTTTAGTGCTGATCAGGATAGACTGTGCAGAGAAAATACTTGCATTGGATTTCACATAATGCTGCATCATGTTTCCTCTCAGTTCTCAGAGCCAAAGTTTCTATTTTTGCAGCATATTCAAAGGAGCAGGAATAAGTGCATTAGATCAAAGATACTTTGATAGTGACAATAGATTCATATAAATGGGTCAGACAGCAGAACTCTGAACAGAGAGTTATTTTAAGCATAATCACAGTTTATGCTTAAAAATGCAAATGTATTAACATTTGCAAGATTTTACTAACTGAAAATTTGTATTTTCAACATACATGCTCACAAAAAGGAGTCAATTATTTTATTGTATTTTATACATATAACTTTTAAAAGCATTAAATAGTCAAGATTCTTTTTTATATGTGAAACTCGGGCGGATGCCCAGGGTGGCATTAGAAATGGGTGACACAAAAATAGCAGATGAAATAAAAAATACTTTTTTATGTTAAGACTGGATTCTACGAATGTGACATTTTAGTCACATTAGTATACATTAGTATATCCAAGCGTATGAAACACTTGGATATAATGATGTTCATGTAACACCTGACTGTTTTTAACCTAAAAAGAAATACAAATGATAAATGACTTTAAGGCTTTTAATGGGGCATGTATGTTTTACAATTCACATGAAAAGAAAACAAATCTGTTCGAAGAAAATGCTGCAATAACTTGTTCAAATGAACCTGCACACTTTTAAAGAACTTATTTGTTGAACCGACTTTTGGTAAAATATTCACAGGAAACATTTAATTTCACCCTGTCTTACAAAATTCTCCAAATCTCTCAGACTGCTGTTCAGGTGAACCCACCTGAAGAGGTTTTCTAACTTTTAGTTCTGGACTCTGGCTTGGCCTTTCCAAAACCTTACTGGTTTTCTACTGAAGCAGATTTGGAATTAGGTTTGAACTACCTATAAATCAAATAGCTAAATCCCTGCTGCCTCCATCCTGAGTTTTCTAACGCCTTGTTTCACTCTGGGTATGATTGTGTTCCTGTTGGTGAGAAACTGTTTTATTTCAGTCAAATTGAACCGTGGCCCAAAATGTCCAACTTGGTTCCGTCACACCGTGTCATCCTAGACAAAACTATACGTTTTATTTGGAGTGAAAAACTTGTATGGAAAATATAGAAGACTAATGTCACAAGTTGGACCCAGCACTCAGCAACCATCCCTGTACTTTTGGTGCTCCTTCTGAACAGATTTCTCACGTTTTTGCTTTGCTTTTTGTCATTTGTGAAGAAACTGTCCTTCTCCTGACAGATACCTTTTGCAGGATGAGATAATTTCAGAAATATACTTTAAAAAAAAAAAATCTTTCTGCATAGTCTGGCCGAAGCTGAAGGATGTATATATAAAAATGTCAAGAGAATCCTACAAGGATAGCTGAACTTTGTTTAACAAAATTAACGGTAATTGAGGTTGGGTTTGTACCCAGGAGGGTTTCCTGCTGGAGTTTAATCAAAAGGTGTTTCAACAAAGCTTTCGCTTTGTGAACTTTTATGCTAAATAATTTCACGTTTTTGTTTTCTTCCTAACAGATCGTTGAGTTTAAAATTGAAAATAATTGTGAAGTTACATGGGTAAATAATCTCATTATAACTTAGCATTTTTTCAATTAGGAAACCCTGAAATTTCTTGCTCTGAAGAACTTCAAGATAGAAGATGCTTGTTGTTTTATTTATAATTATGCTTTATAAAATCAGTGACTTGTAATTTCCGTGTGAGGTTAAACATTATAAGAAAACATACAAAATGAAAAATATGTCATAAATAACAAAAGTTACAAAATGCTGCCTCCTAGTGTTTGATATTAAACATTACAGTTTTGGCTGCTGCATTTACTCACAACCAAATATTCAAACCCTGCTTGAATATAATGACTTTTATTCATTTATATATTTTAAGATGCTGTACGAAAACATAAAAATACTTCTTTAGATGATATTTACATTTCGAGTCTATCAATAAAAGTGACATACAAGCCAGCTGGAACAGAAAAACAACAGCAAACAAGACAGAATGGCATCACAACTAGTGTCTTATTTCAAAACTAATATAATCTCAAGCTCCTCTGCACAGAGGTGGAAAAGAACAGCCTGCAGGTGAGCACAGCCTGAACGGAACAAGAGGAAATACGAGGAGATGAAAAAGGACAAACGAAAGGTGCAAAAACTCATCTTTTCCGCCGCCTCCCTGCTGCTTTAATCTAAACGTGTCACTTTAATCGTTGCTCTCGACGAAGGATTCGTCCTCATACAAGTCCTCCAGCTCTCCTTCTCTGCTCCCTTCTCTGCTGATTTTCCTGCGGGAGACGAACATCTGTTAAACCTAAACCTTCCTGATTGAGACAGCAGATGAGGAGGGCGAGGAGGAAGAGGCGTCGCTATGCTAAGAAAGTCACAAAGTAACTCCGCTTTGCAGCAAAGCTCATCAGTTTTCATCCGAGAGGAGACAAGAAACAGAAATAGCTCATCAACAGGATTTGAGATTTGTTTGTTTGGTCCTGTCCAATTTAAATCCTCTTACGGCTAAACAAACCTGATGAGCTGAGTTACGTGTGAAGCACTACGAATCAAGCTCAGCCTAAAACGCTGTTTTGTTTTTTTTTAAAAAACAATTTACCTCAAAGACGGATGAGACGAAGACCCCAGTAAGCCCAAAAGTCCCCTGCAGGAAGGAGACGTGATATAATAAACCAGAATTCAAACCCCAAAACACTTAACCAGAAATACGCCAGGGGTCTCATGTTCCTGCTGCATTTTAAAAGGTGGCATCCAGAAAAACTGGCAATTTTTAGCTGAAAGAATCATATGTGATGTTTAAAGTTTAGCAGCTTTACGGCTGATTCTAGTTTAGGTTAGAAGAAAAGCTATAAATAGAAGAAAGTAAACATTTTGTAGTTTGTTACTTCTTACAAATGACCAGAGCTTGGTTTTCTGTTTGTGCCTTTGCAGAAATGTTAAAGGGGCGCAACATTTATATGTAACTTTATGACACTAACCGGTAAGGTTGAAATGAGGTAATGAGACTTTTGGGGAAGACTTTTATTTATTTTTTTTTTCTTTTTACCAGCTGCACTACTTCAATATATTTGAAGTATATATTGAAGGACTTTAACATATTTTTACCTGATTAAAAGTAAAAAGTAACCATCCAAGAAATGACTCAAGTAAGAGTAAAAAAGCATTTTATAAAAAGGCTACTCAACTATTACATGATCAAAACATCTGATTTATGTTTTAAAAATGATGTCATCAGACAGACAAAAGCTGTAAAACTATGTACCAATTCTGGTATTTTAAAATGTAAAAGGAAAATATATACAAATAAATAACACAATTACAGTAGATTCTGGCATAAGTAACACTTTTAAATCTTTTTTTTATTTTCAGAAAAGACGTCAAACGTATGAAACTAATATTGTTGGAAATGCAAATATACTTTATGTTAATAAAGGATAAAGTACTTCTGGTGGCAAAAAGCACAACAAGCACAATTAAAAAGTATCACTTTCACTTATATTGTGTCTGTCTGATGCATTTTTTGTCTTTTCTTTATTTAATGGCATTGGCCAACTTAACTTTACTGTATCTGGAAATTTTACCCAGACTTCTGGTCTCCACAGTAATCCGATCTCAGTCAAATAGAGCATCTGTACTACAATGGGACACTAACAGCTGACAAATCTGCAGTAAATGTTTGACGTCATCATGACCCAAAATCTCTGAGGAATATTTGTGATCGCTTGTTGAATCTATGCTGTGAAGAATTAAGGCAGTTCTGAAGGCAAAAGGGCTTCAAATCAAGTCGTTATTCAAATGGGCTGTTGCTGAAGAACTGGAAGAAAATACCAACTCATACTCTCTCAGAAGGAACTCATCTTGATATTTAAATAAATGTATTTAAAGTCCTACGTATGTTACAGAGTGTGCAGGGCAGTTTCAGTTCTGCACACGCTTTCATCAAGTCCATCGCCACAGAATGAATGTTTCACTCTACGCACATGCACACACACTTGATGAAGAGCCCTTCGGAGTGACAGCCTCGGTAAGCGTGCTATATGTGAGCAACACTACATGTGAAGTATAGAAGTGATCTATTTTTAATCCAAGCATCTGCTCGCTGCTTTGTTCCGTTAGAGGGCTAATCGCAGAGCTGGCAGAGAGAAGCAAACAGGATTTGCAGAGTAGGCGACTTACGTAAGAAGACCTCCGGGGGCAGACATGGACCTCTCTGCCCGTCTGCCCTGACACTCAAAGGGATTACTGAAAGAGCGCTTCCTCAGCATGGACTTCACCAGAATCTGCAGTGGACATCAAAAAGAATCTCAATGGATCTCTGTAAAAGTGCCTTCTAAAGCCCACTCAGCAAAAACACTGTGGAAAAATGCTAGATTTAATTATGTAATCTGACCATTTACGCAGATGATAGCTCATAATGACAAAACATTTCTATTATCTATTATCAAATACAAATCCATAATACAAACAAGTCTATTTATAAAGTATGGTTGTGTGAAGATCAGAGACAAAAGAAATGTTTGGTTGACTGAAAATTTAATGCTAATTTATAACCAATTAACGACATAATAGGTTTAGAGCTGCAACTAATGGTTAATTCATTTATCAATTGTTTGATCCATTGTTATAATGGTTAATCAGACCACTTAAGCTGATTTTATGCAATATTAGAAACACATAAAATACAAATAAAAAATCATTTAATTTGTTTATTCAATAAGAAAATAAACATTTTATTGTCTAAAAGGTGATAACAAAACATTTCTTCATTTCTTTTTTTGTAGCGGAGAATTCATAAGCATAAAAAATATATTTTTAGCATCAATATGTGAGAAGCTCAGCACATTCAACTAATGTGACTAATCTTTGATGAACAAATTGATTCTTGGATAGCAAAAGTTGCTTAATAGAAAATGTCTTTTATGGAATTTGAAGCAGGTGAAGCTAAAAGTCGAACTTGAGGTGAACATATTTACAGACAAAGATTTTCCATTCACATGAAAAATTTCAAGCCTGGCATGCAGATCAAATAGTTTTATTTTCGTCTCATCTGATTGGATCATCTTTTGCCATCTATTTGATTATTCTTTCCATTTTCAAAGAAAGTGCTTAACTCTTGAGATATTGTGCTATCACTCATTTGTACTTACCTTTTACACCCAGGTGGAGTTTGTTAATTCATTAAGTGACTGATGAAGGTGATTAATAAGCTGCGTTTGATTTAGGGGTATCAGAGTAAAGAAAGCCGAACAGATGTGAATGCCACACTTTGAAAAAAATTGCTTTATAATCCTTTTGTTTCATCTATCCATTATGTTATATTGGTCGATTGGGAAAAAAAGAAACTCCTATTGAAATAAATGGAAGTTTATGGGATAGAAATATGTTTGCAAATCAACAAGATGATTTTTAAACTTTAAAGGAAATTCAGAGAAAACACCAGAAAGGTGTTTTCCAAACTCCCCCCCAAAAAAATTCTGCCATAAATATTGTATGACAGTAAATATTAAAACTGGAATGTGTGAGCTGGGTCTGGTCCTCCCAGTGGGCGCAGTGTGACTCACCACAGCGGACAGGCTGGGGATGAGCTTCACGCTGTTCTGCACCTCCTCATCGGTGACCTCCACCGCCGTGCAGTGCTCCTCCTCCAGAGGGAGAGGACTGGAGCCGTTCTCCGTCACCCACGGATGGAGCTGTAGCAGCCACACACACACACACACACACACACACACACAAACACACACACACACACACACGCACCACACACACACACACACACACACAACACGCACGCACGCACGCACGCACGCACGCACGCACGCACGCACGCACACACACACACACACACACACACGCACACACACGCTGTCATGTTTTCATCACTTGTGGGGACTTGGCATTGACTTCCATTAATTGCTACATCCTTACTCTCACCATTGTCCTAACCCTAACCGTAAGCATCATATACCTGACCACTAACCCAAAAACAACAATTTCCCTCATGGGGACCAAGAAAATATCCCCACAAGGAGCAATGGTCCCCATGACCCCACATTGTAGACAGAAATAGGTTCCCTATAGATATGAAAATCTGGTATACACACACACGTGCACGCACACTGACGTAATAAACAAATTCACACTGTGGTGATGAACTGATTGGTGTTTGCATACTCACCTTTATTTCAGGGATGGTGATTCTGGTTGCAGGGTTTTTATCCAGCATTCTTTCAATGAGATCCCTCAACTCATTGCTTATTGAAGGGCTGTCGGTAAGAGATCAATAAAGACGTCAGAGTTAAATGTCAAAGATAGAATAGAATGAAACAGAAACATCCTCCAATGTCCCACAACGGGGAAATTGACAAGCAATCAAAGTCAGTAGATTCACACAAAGGTAGAAATTATCAAGATATAAAAACAGGACAAACGAAAAGATGATGTACAATCTTCAACTTCAACATAAAAGTTATGAAAGAAATATGGTGCCTCCTGGTTTAAAATAATGTTCAGTTGATTTTAAAATGCACTATGTGTATTTGGGTATTAAAAAGGCAGACTTGCAAAAATAGACCATAAAACCTGTAACAGCAGACATATGCAGAAAACATAAGTTTGTGATTAGCAACTCCAAAACTGAAAGATAGAAGAAGTTCCTGAGCGAGAATAAGGAGCGCGATGCTAAAGATTCTGGTTTGTAATTTCAGGTGAATTAAAAAGTACTGCATTAATCTCAGCGTGAAATTAAATGTTGTTGTAACTCGTATTAAACAATTTTCTTCAAAGGTGGTGTTGTACATGCTGATGGCTGTGGGCAGAAAGGATTTCCTGTCGCAGTCTGTGTTACAGTGGTTCTGAAGAAGCCTCTGACTGAAGATGCTCTGTTGTATGACAGATTCTCAAACAGGATGGTCAGCCATTGTTAGGCATTAACAAAAAAGCGGAACTACCTGAAATATACAAAAAGCTCGAAAGTGACAGAATCCAACACCAAGCTCAACAGCATCAAATAAGACGTAACCATGACAACAAAAATAAAGAATAAGATGTTTTACTCCCTTAATGTTAACATTGTGATGCAAATTACTGGTACTTGTAACAAAAAGAGAGTTAAAAAGTACTATAGCTCAACATGACTTTCTGTTTCAGAGCCTCGACAGTTTAAGTTAATGTTTCGAAGCTTTGAGTCAATATTCAGACATTCTTACGTTTCTGGAAACTCCACAGGTTTGTTCTTGATCTTGTTGTGCAAAGAATAGATGTACTCATCATAAAATGGGCACTGGAACGAGACACACAGGTTAAAAATGATAAATGTGCTTAAATGAAGTGATAAAACGGTTCATACAAGCATCCTTCGGGCGACATTACCTTCCCGAAGACAAAGCAGTACAGCGTAACCCCCATCGCCCACACGTCTAATGCCTGTGGAACAAACATGGCCACTGTCATGACAGGTCCTCACGCCGTGGTCTGTCAGTGATCCACAGGTGATCAGCTCACCTTCCCGCTGAAGCTTTGCTCGAGTTCGCTCATCATCTCAGGAGCCATGAAGGCCGGCGTCCCCGCCGTGCTGGACAGGAGGGCGTCGTGGCCCTCAAACTCGTTACTGACGCCGAAGTCTGCGATCTTAACATGACCGTCGTCCCCCAGGAGGAGGTTGGAGGGTTTGATGTCTCGGTGGATGATCTTATGATAGTGTACTACACACACACACACATAGACACACGCATACACAAATACACACAGGAAGAAGGCTGAGTTGTTATTGATAGTTGGAGAAAAAAAAATCTATCCAAGTTTATTCTAAATGTAAATTTTGGTAAATGGCCTGCACTTGTGTAGAGCTTTATCAAGAGAACGCCAAACCAATTCACACTACAGTCAGTCATTCACCCAGTCACACAGATATTAACACACTGATGGTGGCAAGATACTGCAGTGTAGCCAGAGCTGCACTGGGGCCAGGCTGCCATGCACCGGAGCCACCAGGTTCTCTGACCACCTCCAGCAGACAGGTGTCTGCTGGAGGAGTGAGACAGGCAGAGCGGGGCTTCAAGCAGGCAACCCACCGATTATAGAACAAATTACAGCAACACAAACATAAAGCCTTTAGTTGGAAAAACACAATAAAAACACACACAAATACACACAAAAATAAGAAGAACAACCTACAAGCTCAAGAGTTCTTTTCTTCATGTTAAATAGATGAAAATACATCAGAATAATATGTATTTTTTATTTATTACAAAATAAACACAACAAGAAGCTTCTCAGAGCCTATCATCAGAATGCATGTTAGCAAATGATGAGTGTTATACTCTGTCGATGTGAACACATTGGCTTTTCTGGCTGATCTTTAAAAAGTCTGATCTGCAGATTCCGATTTTGGCCAATACTGATGTTTTTTGTCTGAAAAGTCACTAAATATAAAGACAAATTTACTATGTAACAGTAAAGCAAAAAGGGATGGTGGTTGAATTTCAGATCGTTGAGGAGGTAGATCAGATCAGTGGAATCAATTTCAAGTGTAAATATCAGCAGATTGCCGAAATCCCAAAATGAAGGAAATTGGGACCAATTTATCAATTTACCTCCTAATCTCTACCAGGACACTGGAGGTTGTGGCTGTTCTGTATCAGTGAACTCAAGCTCAGGCTGCTTGGACGGCGTCTCCCTATTTCCTTTATTTGACGAGCTCATGCTAGCCTCACTTTGATTCAGGCTGCTCTTGAAAGCATCGATGGGATTCCAGTTTTGTTGAAGTATGTGACGTTGCTGCTTTGTAAGATTCAAGCTTCTTACAACCGATATAAAACAAGACATACATCACATTCAGATTATTCACACGTCTACTCACAGTACTCTATTCCCAGGACGACGTCTCTGAAGTAGAAGCGAGCCTGGTCCTCGGTTAGCGGGTTGTCTGTGGGCACCTCTATCACCGGCCTGAGGGGCAAAGAAGCAAAAACCACACAAACATTTTATTGTATCTCGTGGGGGCCACTCCTGCCATCTAACATATCAAAGTGATGGATTAGTATGTAAAACATACCCCTCTTTCATTAGTTCGAAGGCTAAAAGAGAAAATAACTTGTATTGAATGACCTAGTAACTTTGCTTTCTTTTATCACGCTACAGCAGAAAAGGTGAATGATTCCCTACCCATGTGAACTCCATCTTCTTCAGGGTCATCGAGCACCTGCAAGATACATCAACATTGCTACCTCATGTTTGTTTAGGTTTTTTCAAAGTTATTTAAACAAATATTATTTCTGATCTTGAAAGGAGTCGATTAAATGTTTTTGGCTGAAGTATGCAGACAGGTTGCTCTGCTGCTTGTTGTTTTGGTCACATCTGACGCACCTCTACCAGTTTAACTACGTTCGGATGGTCCAGTTTCTTGAGGATGGCGATCTCTCTGTACACTCTCTCCAGAGGCTGCATTGATTTAGGGAACATATCCTGCTGAGAGTTTGACCCCTGAGGAGATGGGCGACCTGGAGGTACAAACACACTGCGCCAGTCTGGATGAAGGCAATTTAAGGAGCTATTTCTTGGTACATAATTGTTCAGAATGAAGCATTGCTGCAAAGCTAATAGCTCAACGCAGTCCAAATGTCCATCAACGGATTTCTGCGAAGGGTCGCAGGGCAAAAAGATGATCGCACTCAGATATTTGCATAACCTCGTACTAATGTTGCAAAGAAACCAGACCATTTTCTGTAGTCAACCACAAGCGTCTGGCAATTTTCTAAAGTGTGGTTTTGAACCACACTTCAAAACCAGGAAGTGTGGTTTTGACCACACTTCCTGCTAGGAGTGACAGAGCTCATTTAATTTGGTTGATAATTTGCCACCTTCTAATTTTGTCTATGTAGATTTTAAACAGTGTTAAAGTCGCAGAACCATAAACTGATGATGGTTTTAGATCAATTTTGGGATCATTGCCTTTTTAGAATAAATTTAAAACAACTTGCTGTTGATTTTAGGTCATTAGAAGAACATAAAAAGAAGTCACCTTACTCTGAAACATCCACTTTGTGTGATGGGTCAGCAACCTTGACAGCAAACAGCCCATATCAAAGTGTTTTCAAGTTTAAAAAGATTACTGTGACTCCTACAAGCATACTTTATGCCACTGCAGCCAAATCTTGCTGCAGCAGGCCTTTGATGGGACTTGGGTTTATTTCAATTTGCCTTGTTCAGAGGTTCTTCGTGACTGAAACAGGGAGAGGAATACTTGGCAGTAATAAAACGTCTCAGATATTCCTCCTGATCTGACTTTAACTGCTCAATATTTGGAAGAGCGTGGTCAAGATGGACTGAAAGGCTTTTTTGCACGTCCCTCACTGCCACCGCCAAATAATAACCAGACGACTATTCTAAAACGGAGTAAAAAATCAACACCGTAATTCACAGGGATCCTAAGAAATAGCTTTTCTTTAAGGTGGCAGTTTTGAGCCGGCAGCTCAAATTTAGAACAGTAATCATCTCAAACACCCATGACCGTGTTTTTATAGACCCAGGAATTACCCAACAAAAGCCCTGCAACTTCGGCCCCATTGGCATTTTTGAAACTATGCTGAAAATTATAGCTGTGGCAGGAAATTTTTAAAAATTAGAAAAAAACTCCACCTGTTCATAAGGAAAATGTGGCTAAATATCCAGTCAGAACAACAAAAAGCTATTTAAAAGCTATCAGCCTGTTAAAAGTGCAACTTGCCCACTGCCAATTAACCACCTATTAACTGGGTTGCAATTAGTTGTTTGAGCCTCATCTGCAGATTAGTGAAAATCCCCAGTAAACTCAAACTGTTGTGTCTAGTTCTTGTTTTAAAACTTCTTTTAAAAAAGCGCCAAATCAACGTTTTGTTAAGATTTTATGTGAATGCAAACCTTCCACTGGAACCATAAACCACACAAGACTGAAACAATCAAAATGAGACTTTACTCACGCAAAAACCCACACAGCCTCAGCAGCTTCTTCTTTGAAACTACCTTCATTGCCTAATCAAAGAAAAGAAAAAGGATTAATGACCATTTCATTAAACGACAGTCAGGCTCAAGCAGTTTAAAGCTTCAGCTTACATAGTATTGTTCTGAATCTTCATTATAGGCGAGTTTCACTACTCCATAAGAGCCCTACAGGGAACAAATAAAAAGGTTTATAATTCAAGAATCAGAAATGAAAACACTGGGTTTCATATTGGTAGGTCACCTTTCCAATCTCTTTCTTCAGTTTATACTGGTTGAGCTGAAGACAGTCCTGTAGAGGTGAAATAGTAAAGTTTTAGTCTCAGAAAGGAGGAGCTCAGGTGAGTCTTAATCCATGTGAGGTTCCTCACATCGGCATCAGTGATGGAAACCCGTTTGGTCTCGATGGTGGGCTGCCGGGCCACGCGGCTCCCCCTCTCCTGCAGAGACATCTTCCTGTCTGTGAGGCGGGCCCTTTGGCCCATGGTAGAACTGGGCGCTCCTGACCTGTAGCCGTTAGGAGGGGTCAGGCGGCTGGCGTTCATGGATGCCACCATGTCGGCAAGCTCGCCCTGAGGGTCCGACTCCATCTCCGGTTTGAAGACGTTATCCGAGCTCATAGTTTCCCTGACGATGCTGCCTTGTTTACGGTTGAATGGTTCAGTGGGATGGGCAGACGCTGCATCACTGCACTGAGAGGAACATGAAGAACTGGATGAGAAAATAACCTATAGAAATAGGTTTTATTTTTATTGGTCAGGAAGGAAAACCGGAGTTGGAAATGTTTATTTTTGTGCTAAAGTCTCCTGACTAGCTACGTTTTCATTAATCATAGAATTGCACAAATTGAAATTACAAAAATAAATAAATATATAAATATATAAACAACATAACCAAGTGGCAGGCATAGTGTACAGAAACATCTGCGCAGAATATGGACTGGAAACCCCGAGATCAAAGTGGGAAACACCCCCAAAGGTGGTGGAGAACGCCAGAGCTAAGATCCTGTGGGACTTCCAGATCCAGACAGACAGAATGGTAATGGCGAACCAACCAGACATTGTCGATCTGGATAAACAACAGAGGAAGCCGTTGTGGTAGATGTAGCAATACCAAGCGACTGCAACATCAGGAAAAAGGAGCACGAGAAACTGGAGAAATACCAGGGCCTCAGGGAAGAACTGGAGAGGGCCTGGAAGGTGAAGACCACAGTGGTGCATGTGGTCATCGGGGCCCTCGGGGCAGTAACCCCCAAACTGGAGCAGTGGCTACAACAGATCCCAGGAACAACATCAGTCATCTCAGTCCAGAAATGTGCAGTCCTTGGCACAGCCAAGATACTGCAGGACCCTCAAGCTCCCAGGCCTCTGGTAGAGGACCTGAGCTCAGAGGATAAGAACCACACACGGTGGGTGAGAAGGGAATTTTTTTTTATTCATATTCATAGAGTAAAAGAACAAAGCACAAACATATGCCTATAAAAAGCAGTCTCTTAATTTTTTCTAGATCTGTATATATAAATGACCTTAAATTACTTTGAGCTCAGTGAAATGAGGTTTGGTTCAGCTTTCCCAACAATATAAGGGTACTTCTAAAAGTGATCATGAAAAATCTTTACTGAGAAATTAATTTAACATTTAACGCCAAGATCTGATGAATTCACTTCAAAAACATTTTTAAAAAGTTGTTCTGTGCAGCATAGCTAAGAATCTGATTTACTGTACTTTCAATATGCAGCAGTAATAAGGTGAGTTATGGTCTTTTTTTCTTTTAGAACATATTATCTACGTGTCTGGACTTTATGTGACAGAATTATGCCCAATAAGGCAGATCATGCAGATTATTTTCTGAACATCAATGGGGGACATTTGATTTGCACAGCCTAAAAAGAAGAAGGAAGCTGAACAATTACCAAAGGACACATAAAAATGTGAAGTTTCCACCCTGTGACATTAGGCTGCAAGTAGAACGCAATCAGCTTCCTATGAACGAGACTCATTGCTACCTAAAATACAGTACAGAGAACTGAAAAGCCTCTTATGTAACTTAGCGGGAAGCTTTAACAGGCTTGTAACTTCGCAACAAAGCACTGGACTCACACACACATTTAAAAATGCTCCTTATAAAGTTACACAAGAGATGTTAAAAGTATTTCTAACAATGGTTTTGGATACACCGGATAAAACAAAAGCCTAAATGTCTCTGAAATATCTCAAACTTCAGTAACTGCGAGGTAACGGATTTACTCACAGACTGGAGCCGTCCTGTTTCCAGGGCTGTTTCTGTGAATCTGCATGTTGACGGGGGCTGAAGCTCGTCTCGCTCTGCAGGATGTTCACTGCTGAGCGGTCAGGGACATCAGCAGCACACGTCTTAGGGATTAACTCGGGCTACATATAGATGAAGCAGAGTTGTTCCCAGGACAGCAGGACGATTGCTTGTGTTTACATGATGGGCAGCAGAACAAAAACACAACACCGGCAAAATGTGTTGCTTCATATTGAGAGGCAGCTAAATAGCAGACAGGACTACCGTTTATTTATCCTTTAGTTTTATCTGTACACTTAAATTATTCTGCATTCACTGCATGAAACTGGATAAAAGCAAGGTCCTTTATGTAATTTAGTTCACTATTATATTTAATGTTATGGAAATTATAGGTTTTTTTTTAGAACATGTTACATGATTGTGCATAAAATCCAAACACTGCAGCTTCTGTTTGGATTTTGTGGCTATTGGTTGTTGGGTTGCAATTTTTGGTTGCTGAGTCGTGATGTTTTATTGTTGCATTGTGGCTTGTTGCTGAATTGTTGCTTTTTGCATTTTGTTGATCCTGCAGGTCCACTGAATGATAAAAATACAGATCACGCATTTCAAATTTTAATTTTACATTTACAAACACACTAAAACTTGTATTATTTTTATTTCACATCACAATAACGCTCCATGTTGGTTTAAAATCACCTCCAGTAGACTAGTTTAAGCTCTAATAGTTTAAGCTGTGCTTACTTATACTGGCAAAAATTTGTTAAAAAGTTATCTTTCTCAAAAAACTAAAATCGGGAGATGCACAGTTGGGAGTGAAGTTGTAAAATCTAAATGACCTTAGAATAATCATTCACGGCAAAACTAGGCAAGTTTTGAGACAAGCCTTGTTGTTTTTTCTTTTTTATAATGCTTTAAAGCTGATGTTTTAAAATTGTGTTTTATTATGTTGGAAAACCCCCAAACCCTTCTTTTAATCCTGCACATCTGTCTGTGGTGTTGTTTCCTTGATAAGCTCCTCAAATGTTGAAAATAGGGTCAACTTATAAGCATTCTACCGTTGGATTACAAATGAGAGGATGTTTTCTGAGCGTCACATTGAAGAAATGTGGGTCGCTTCCCTGCTTCAGGATAAAACATGAGGCCTGAAACCGACTGGCCCAGCTGCAAAAGTAAAAAAATATATATGTAAAAAGGAAAGAGGCCTGGAGTCAAATAAAACATATCAGCACAATTTTTTATAATCCAAGGAGGAACGTTTCAGGCTGCTGTAGAGCAGTCATATTCAGTAAATTAGAATATTATGAAAAAGTTAATTTCACATTTTATAAATTAATTACACCAGACAGATGTTTTCTAGCCTTTAACTCTGTTAATTGTAACATTTAAGTTAAATATCTGATTAAGGATTAATTGTAAGTTATACGTTTAATCTGATAAACTCAACGGAATGTATTTTCCAATTTATTAAATATAATTGTGTCCTTATATGTAGGAGTGCATAACAACAGTGCTCCATTACTTTCCATACGACCAACACATATCATTATAAGCACTTTAAAATGTGAAAAAATATTAATGATAAAATAAAGACAAAAGTTACTGAAAGGAAGTGTCATCAATGCTTTTATATCTTTAGTCTTTTTTATTTTAGCACATCCAAAAACAGTTTGAAACAGTTTCTTCAGCAAAAAAAGGTTCAACATCAAGCAGCAAATTGCAGTTTTACACTTCTGTTTATTATGTACATAATGTACAATTTAGTTTCTTTTTAAAGAACCTCCTCTTACTGAATTCTTCGTGTGGTCTGAGGTACAAAACGTGAAAAATGCAACATCAGAACACGTTGTTATCCTGCTGAACTTGAAGAAGTAAATATGCCTTTAAAATATTCCATGTAGGTGTCATTCTAGAATCAGAAAGACTTTAACTGGGCTGACATGCTTACTTTAATATTTGAAAAATTTCCTATAAAAATGGTCAGAAACATTGGGTTGAAGTCACTGCTAACCCCTACCTGCAGGTGGCAGCATTTCTTACTTTTATGACAGTTGCCTCAGCTTTACGCAATGTCAAGTGACAGTTCATAATCGACATGTTACATTTGAAGTCAAAGCTAAGCACCAATATGACTAAATTATTTACAAATATTTCTAAAGCAGCACTTTAAATCCATGAATTTGATTGGAAAAAATTACAACAACAATCACAAAATCCTATAGAGGGAAATTCACGTGAAAAAAAAAAATCGAGATTATTTATGATTAAGACACATATTGACATTTATTGATATTTGAACAGTTTGTCAATGGATTTGAACGGAATGTATTTTCGGAGTGTATTTATAAACACACATTCTGGCGCAACAGGCCGTGAGAACACTCACGATCTTGATTTGGGCCCAAAATGTGAACGAGTTTCTGAGAGCCAGAGTTTCTCCAAAATGACAAATCTCAGGTAAAAAACAAGAGTGTTTCCGATTATTACCTAAAATAATAATCACCAATCAAACCTGCAGCTTGTCCTCTCTGGTGAGATACGAGGTCTGGATTGACCGCTAGCTATCGACAGATCCAGCTGCACAGCTTCGCCCAGTCAAACCGTTCTGAAGCGAGATTCCCAGGGCCGCTGAAATCTTACCACGGCCCTCTGAATCTGCTCATAGCTGACAAACATCACTATGTTCCAGGACCCCAGGCGAAGAAACGACGGCATGAAGCTGCAAGGAAAGATTGAGATAAATCAGCTGCTGGACCTGATCTGCCCCGGTTTTCGACGACAACTCCCACCCTTTGTAAAAAGCCGAGGGCCCCTCTTTAAGCAGCATGGTCAGAGCGCAGTTGGCGCCGCCGCCGTACTGCCCAGGAACGGAGTTCATGAAGCGGGTTTTCACCACGTCCACCGGAGAGGCCACCACAGTGGTGCAGAAACCTGCGGCGAATGCGGCAGTGAAGTGACATGGCATGTTGTCTGCAGGGGGGGAAAAAAACGCAGAAAATGGTTTGCTAAAGACCACAAAGACTGGAGAGGGATCAACAGGTGGGGGTGGAGGGAGGCCCTACCTGTCATCATTTTGTTCTTCAGGATCTGCTCTTTAATGATGTCATACGTCACCAGCTCGGAGCAGTTCACAATGGCGTTACGAGTTATGTTCAGCAGACAGCCTGGAAAAAACACATTTTATACCGTCAGAAAATATAAATAAGCTGGAAAAACAATAATAGAGCACTTAAATGCGACACAACAGCAGACCAGTATGAGTTTGTGTGAATCAGGACAAAGAAACAGCAGCTAAGATGCCATCAAAACATAGTCATCAAGACCTTGGAGGGTCTTTGCCAAGTACATCAGGGCAAAGTGTTGTTAATGGGGCAGTATCTCCATCACCTTCTAATGTTTCTCCCCTCATCAAAAACATGCATGGAGTGTTGCTTTGATTCTTTCATGCATGTTTGAGAAATCCTTTCATCTCCAGTGGTCACCACTAAGCTCTGTGAAATGTTTGGGTGGTCCCAGAGCAGCCTTCAAGATGCAGCTCCTTCAGACTAGCCAGCAGCAATTAGCAAACATTGCACTGAGAAGCTCCTTCTATCGTGTTTTCGTATTTTTTAAGGCTTACAGCTACACTACATCCACTGTCGCCTCCAAACAACATCAGAATGCTGTTGCATAACCTCAACATGTCGATCCATCGCTTGCCCTCCAACATATCATTTCCTGTTCTCCTTATAGTGAAGTATCAGTGTCTCATTTGTATTTCTTATCTTTTTTTTTTTTTTGAGGACCAAACTTCAAATCCAGTGTACTTTACTGTGTGTAGTGCATCATTTTGGCATATCGTGTTAAAATTTCCGATCTATGCATTTTTTTTTATTGTGATGAAAGAGCAGGAGTTTTTAAAGAGACATTTGTCCAGTTTCAAAGCATTACATTATGAATAACACATAATACTTCTTTAATTATGCACCATTTTGAGACAAATAAAATGCACAATCTATGCATTGTGTAAATAGATAAAACATCATGATCTGTGCACATTGATTTGGTTTGGCACCCAGTGAGGGTTCACAGCTATGGAGAAGGGCACACACCTCCAAACTGTGCATATGGCTGCTGAGAGAAACGTTTCTGAAACCTGTGCTGGAAATACTTCCTGCTATGACAGAGGAAGAGTAAAAATAAAAAAGTGCATGTGAAATTTCATGGGGTTTAGAACATAAAGTATTATATATAATAGTTGCAGCATAAAAGCTGAAATACACCTTTAAGCTTTGATGTGAATTGCTGACAGTGATCAGGAAAAAAAATCTCAATATTCTGATTGCATTAGTTTACATTACAAGCTTGGTAGTGGGAAGAGTTCTGACAAAATAAAAATGTGGAAAGAGTTGAAAACCATTAATAGTAATTAAATTGTCAGCTAATTTAGTATTTCATTAATTATTAATGGTAGCATACTAACTAAAAATAAGTCCATCTGTTGAAAAAAACGAAGGCAGTAATTAAGCCAAAACTGTTTAAAAAAAGATATACTTTTTGAGTTTAAGATTAAATAAGCAACTTCTTGGTAAATATGCACACATATTGACTTTGAAAATACCTTTCCAGAGCCCTCGGAGGCCCTCCACCCTGGCGATGGTCCTGTAGGCCTGGGTGGTGCTGCTGTACCTCTTGACGGAGCCGTTGTCCGGCTGGTGGACCTGAGCCTGGAACCTGACCTTCACAACATCGGTGGGCTGAGCAAAAGCCACCGCCATTGCTCCGGTGGTGGAGCCCGCCAGAAGTCGGGCCCCGAATCCAGGATCTGTCACACAGCAGTTTGTGACAACTAGCGACTACAGGCAACTTTGCAGAAACAAGTCATGGTAGGGTTGGCCATGAAATCTGCTGTCAAAGTTTTACTGGCTATTTGTCACATCATGAATTCCTCATTCCAGACTTAACACTGTTCAGGCACACAGAGCCAGCTATACTGGCTCTTCTTGGCCTGCCAGTCGAAGACATGCTAGCTGCAGTATTCTTTTTTTTTTTTAAAGTAAAAACCAGTTTGTTGGGCACCAACAAGAGAAACACTGATTGTACTGTACGACCTTTCAGGATTTCCTAGATTCAACACGACAGATAGGTCTTTCCTTGGTGCAGCTATTTCATAAACAAGCTAAAGTAATTCTGACTTGTGTCTAATTATATCGCGAATGTAAGACACTGAAAGCCTAACACTTCTGCACGTAATCCAAAACTTTGTTATTTCGAAGCGCTGGTGGCTGAAGCTTGTTGAAGGTTTCCCAGGCGTGTGGTGTTGAATGCACATACTTTCTGCTCCGTGGGCGTAGAGTTGCTTCATGGTGTCGTACAGACCGATCCGGATGGAGGAAAAGCATATTTGTCGGTGCAGCCCCGCCAGGAGCCCATTGTACAGATTCCTTGGCCCCTCGGTCCTCACAATGGTGATGATGGTGCCAAATACACCTCTGTACGCCACCTTCTGGCCTTTTGGGAGGGCCTTCGATTCTCCTTGGACCTGAATAAATAGTACAGGTAAAAGAAAATAAATAAATAAATTTAAAAAACTGCTGAGAATAAGAAATTTATACTTTTAGAAGTGTCAGTATTCATTGTGTTTGTCAACATTTTGTCACATTAGAACCACAAATGTTAAAGTATTTTAAAGATATTTTATGTGAAAACCTACATACAGAATGAGATAAGTTATGGCTTTCAGACATTTTGACAAAAGAAACAATTTATTGCAAAATATCACATTTCAGTCAGATTGAGCGATAAGCATTTATGAACTCCAGTTTTCCAAACTTGACAATGATTCTCAATGGGATTTAGAGCTGGGCTTTGACTAGGCCATTCTAACCCCTAAATAAGCTTTGATGTAAATTAGTTCATTGTTCTTCAGTCTATATGTTTAGTGTCCTCCTGCTTTAGGTTGAAGGTTTTTAAAGCTTCCAACACTTTGGTCTCTTATCAGCATCCCCACAGCAGGATACTGCCACCACTCTGTTTTAATCTGGCTATTGTTCTTCTCCAGCCCAACCAGGACTAGATTTGTAACATACTCTGCTAATAGTTCTCCTATAAACACTTAATCCCATTTAATCGCAAGTGGCCTCTTGGCTGCTTATATGAAGAGTGTTGTCTGGGCCCAGCCTGTCAGCTTAAATGGAGGGTATTGTTTTGGTAGGTTTAGTCCAAGCAAGGTAAAGAGATTGGAATATTAACACACCACACTTATCAGTTTTTATTTGATGAACTAAAGAAACTACTGAGCTTTTCTTAAATAAAAAAAGGGGGTTGGGGGAATCTTTAGAGGTTTCATCATTTCATCACGCTCATTAATTAACAATTCACCAGAATTAGGCAGAATTTTAGTTTTCATCTGTAACTTGTCTTGTTGAAGGAAAATTCTTAAAGATTATGAATGAAACAGCATCTTTTGCAAATCCTTGTGTTTAATTTTAAAGTGCTAAGCTGATGAAATCTTGCATGGAGACCATTGAATAGATGCTTTCTCCAAAGCTTTTGCACGTGATCGGTTTCAAACAAATGCTGAACAAACTACGGCTTTTGAAATACGCAACAACCATCAAATCCAAATCTGCAAACTCTCCCAAGAACTTTCATTTTTTAGCACCTTATTATTATTATCCTGAATTTGATCAAATTTAAGGATAAAAAGTTAAAGGTAATGAATGATTTTAAGTCACTTTGACATGTACTGATAATTCTGGAGAGTCAAAAAGCCTGTGTAGGAGCTTAGCAGTAAACATTAAAACTCATGCCACATGTCCTGGCTGTGATGCTTTTAGTTACCTGCAGTCGTACTTTGGCGGTGTCCAATGGGAAGGTGACCAGATCAGCCATGCAGCCAGCTGTTCCAGCTGAAAAAATCTTGACAACAGCTGTAGGTGCCAAGTCAGCTGCTGATCCTCCTGCCATGTTCAAAACAGTAAAGGATCAACGCAGCCAATAAAAAGCAAAAATCAATCCAGAGGGTTCAGTCATCCCAAAATCTGAAGTTAACTCCGAATCCTTTCAGGACTTTGTGACCGGTAACAAAACTGAAGCAGACAATCATGTTCCAGGTAATAAACAGAATGTGTGTCTTATTTAAGTAGAGTTCACTTCATGTGCCATTACTTGTTGTCACTTAGAAGTGAAAGCAGGCGAACAGATGAAAGAATTTATGCTGGTGATGGGAATGTGTTAACTGATTGTTCCATGACTGTTGCACCACTTCTCTGGGGAAAAAAAGGAAGAAAAAAAGACAAACAAAGAAAATGAACATAGTGTGCGGTACACGCCTGAACAAAATACCAAACGTCTGGCTGCTGGTGGGCGTGTTCTCAACACTCAACTCACCTGCTTGGTGACGCAAAAGTTTGAACAGCTGGTCCGACTGGTGACACGCTGGTTTAAAGCAGAAATGTTTCGCAGCAAGTGGAACTCAATATGAACTCATTTTTAATTGCAGTAATTACATAAGCTAAAAAATAATTTATTATGATTAATTACTGAAGTTATGCTAACTACAGTGGCAAAAATTAAAAAAAAAAAAAATCAAATTTTTAATTAAATCCATTTCTTTCAAAGGTAAATACGTGGGGGGATTTTTAAGACCACTGTTAGGTATGGAGGAGGTTTTGGAATGCTGTAGTTCTCTTTGAAAGTCCACAAAAAAAAAAAAAAAAAAAAAAAAAAAAAAAAAACTTTTTCCGTGATGTCACATCTCTAAATCTGATAACAGATCTGTGACAAGCTGAAGAGAACAATGCATACAAGCATTGAAGCTGATCGAGGAGCAATGTTAAGATGACTTTCTGAAGAGGCAGTTTCAGAAAGAGCAGGAGTTTATTAAAGAGACAGAGGCCCAATTTCAAGATGTTAAATTAAAAAGTCACATTTCTTTCAAGTTGTATTTGATATGTAGAGCAATTTTACGACAAATGGCACCATTAACATAGTTGATGGTGCTATAAGATGGCACAACATGCCTGGGAAAAACATAGTACTGCTCTTTAATAAGTGTACTCATTTAAAAGGAGGTGGTACGAGTTACAGATACATTACAGAAGGAGTCTCAAAACTGTTTTTCATTTTGAGCCACATCAAGATCATAATGTCCTTCAAACAATCAGTTGTAAGGTATTCATTTGTTAAACTGTTAAAATTCAATGAATGCTTCTTAAAATTAAATAACATTTAATATTTTTTTCATAGGGATGCAATTCAGCAATATACAAATAAAAACTCATTTGACTGATAAAATTACATTTTAGTAAACAACTTCTACTTATTCGAGGTCTAGAGGGCCACAGAGGTAGAAATGGTGGACCGGATTTGGCCAATGGCTCTTGAATTGCAACATTGTGCATTAGCACAATAAAAGATTAATCTATTTTTAATCTTTTCACACATCTTTACCAAATCTTCCAACAAAATCATCCAGATCTTTCAACAAAATCATCCAGATATTTCTACCATGCAGATATTCATCCACAACATCTGTTCAGTTATGTCTAGGGTTTGTAACATTCACTAAATCTCAAGTTCAAAACACACAAAAGTTTCAAAGTGCAGCACATTTTTCAATATTTATTTATAAAACATACAAATATAAAAATGAATTTACATAATTATTGTGGCGTAAAACCACTGAGCTAACTGGACTTATCGAAACGAGCTGCGAATATCTTTGCGATTCTGTCCGTCTGTTTCTTCAGGGACGAAGGGGACATGTCCGGCCGTTGCCGGGGACCTCTGCGAGAGGGAACGCTGTGGCGGTCTGAGGAGTCCTGACCCTGCAAATGTCACAAAGAAGTACATCTTCAATCATAAAAACATCAGAGGCACGGACATGCCATTGCATGTGAAGATTTTAAAATAATGACTTGTGTGCTTGTGGTGCATTACCCAAAGTCAACGAGTCATTTTTAGCATTTTGTAACATGAAAGGCTCGCTACTGAACACTGTATGTGTGGAACACACAAACATAATCATGGATTCAACAATGAGTAACAGGCTTAAACCGGTTTCTTAGCAATGATGGTAGGATTCCGGTACTAATTCCCAGCATTCACTTAAGCAGTTAGTTACTCCTTTGATTTGAACACAATGGCTACAAGTGCCTTTTTCCCAAAGAGCCAAATTTATCTGTGTTATAAATATGAAGTGGGGCAAAAATGTTGTGGCATGTGATGGCAACATAAACCCAATATTTTCTTTGGTATATCAGTAAATATATCTGTGGGCATTTCAAAAACCATAACTTAAAAAATGTTAGTACCAGAAACTATCAATACCATGTCAGAATGAAACTATTAATGATTAAAGTAGGAATAGCAACAAAGGTTTTAATCTCGGAGATAAAGCTGTAAAGCACTTACAGATTCATGAGATGTGTGGCAGAAGGATGGAGCTAAACGCATGGCTCTCAGTGATGCCTCCAGTTGGTGAGACGGAAGGAAGAAATTAGGAACTTCCACAGGTAATGAGCTTAAGGTAAGAAGTTTAAAAAAACAACAAGACTTAAAGATAGTGTCCAATATCCCTGTCATAAATCAATCTAAAAACTTCATTAGTGCTCAAAGTGAAGTCTAAAACTTTTCAAATGCTAAAGACTTTTAACTAATTTTGTTAAAGTAGGACAAAAAAAATCAAATCTGAAGAAGAGGACTGTACTACAAGTTATTGAAGTCATTGAACTTTGTAAAAGGCTTTGACTCTGAAATGGTGGCATGTAGAAGAGATTAGGAAAAGTACATGTTTATGTAAAAATCTAATTATCAAAATAAACTCTTCATAAACTCTGTTTCCACAGATAAATGGCCAGGAACCTCGTCTTCACACTCTCTACCTTGGAGTTGTCTTCAACTTCCAGCTCTAATTCGATTCAATTTCGAAGACCGCCATCTTGAATCCCAAGAACATTGATCACCTCCACCTTTTACTGTTGCTCCTTTACAGCCTAGCCTTTGATTCACTCATTTTCCACCTCTTGACTTGATTACTGCAAAAGCCTCCACATGGTAAGATCAATATAAATAAAAAATACGTCCGATAGCATGTTAAATAATTTCATTGAACTGCACAGTATTCTGGAGGATGTAGGCAGAGAAAAGGTTTTAGCTGCTCAATTGGTCACGACTAGCTAAGCAACATTGGTAGCATCAACTATCTCACTCACTCTTTGGTTACCAAGCAACTTGCACAGCAACAGTTCCAGGTTTCTCCTGGAACTGAATTTTTATTCATAATGAATAAAAATTTAAATAAAGGCAGGAGTGAAAGCTCTGGATAAATCAGGAAAGATCACACTACCAATTTGGCAGTAATGTACATATTTAAAACATAAAACTGATCAATAATTATTGATATTGACTGATTGGAAACAGTTTTATTATGATACGTTTTTCAGCCATATAGCCCTGCTCTGTTATTTTTTTTTTTTTTTACATTTTATTCCCTTCTTTACCTCGGAAGAAGCAAAGACCAGAGACACTGTAAAGTATCTCTGGGTTTCCTGTACAATGTTAATGACAATAATAAAATAATAATAATTACTATTATTATAATTATTAATAATAATAGTAATAGTAGTAATAATAATTACTATTATTATTATGTTATTATTATTGCAACAATAATAATAACGATGATGAATGAAAGTATAACTGTTACAATACTAGTTTCTACATTATGGTAGCTTTGATATAAACTGCTAATCTGACCTGGTTACCAGTTAAACAGACGAGTCAGAAAAATAGAGCAAACAATGCGAAATAAATAAATAAAAACAGGCTAAGGATACGCCTGGAGCTGGTTTTCATCCGTGTTCTGAGTTCCTGAAGCACAGTGTGTGTCAACGACAGGCTGTGGAGATGATGACACGTCATCTGAACTGTTGGTGCTGTTTGACCCCTTTGTCTGATCACCGGATTGTAGCATCCTGTCATCATCTCTCTCTGTACGGTGAGCATTTTCTGTGCGTTTCTCATCGGAAAGACAGCCGTCTCGATTTTCTTGCAGGCCTTTGTCCTCATTCTCACTCATTTCTGACTCCTTATGATCCTCTATGCTCTCTACAGAAACCAGGTCGGGGTCTGACAGGATGCTGGTCCAAGGACTGGTTCTGTCTGTTAGAGACGTCACCTCATTCAGAGACCTGGGCTGCAGCACCACCTCCTCGAAATCCTCGTCTCCTTCATCATCATCGCCATCTTCCTCGTCCTGTCTAAAATCCTCTTGGTGTTCGTCCTGTGACAGGCTGTCCTTGCTGCTTTGCTCGTCCTTTTTGTCGTCGTGGTCAGAGTCGGTGTCGTCCTCAGATGTCTCAGCAGGCAACGGAGACACAACATCCAAACGATGATGAGTCGCTCTGTTTGGACTGGACTTGCTGTCTGAGTCGGCCGGAGGGCTGCTGCGTTCACCAGGTGAGTCTGATGAGCTCTGAGTGTTGGAGGGAATTGTTTCCAGGAAGTGACCTCGTAGACCTGAAAGACGAGCCAAAATTATGAAGAGAGAAGAAAAAAACCAAAAACAGCATAATTTTAATTTCTGTTATCAGACGTAGTTTGATGTTAAAAATATTGTCTAATTTATCATTAATATTTTATTGCATGACTGCATTGAAGCTGCAGTAGGTAACTTCTATAAAAAAAAAGATGGGAAACACTTCATTTGACAGGGTGTTCATAAGACTGACATGACACTTATGAACATGAAGAAGTCTTTCATTAATATCTATGACTGTTGTCATGAAATGTCATTTGGTAAATATGAGACTTAATGCAAAGTTGCTCTAAAAGTTGCATTAAAAGTCCATTAGAAGTGCCAACGCTGTTTTATTTCGTAAATAATTTCAATTTAATGCAAACATATTTGTTAAACCTATATCTATGTCATTATAGTATAATATGGGACATATAATCGGGTCTGATTGACAGTGCCAAGACTCGCCTCCTGGCTCTGATTGGTTGTTTCTAGTTAGCACTGATGGAAGGCAGCCTACCAGTCTTGAACCAAACTGTCACAACATAGTGACAGTTTCAGTAAATATGTAAAAAATGTTTTTTTTATAAAAGTTACACACTAGAGCTTTATACTTTAAATATACTTTATATATGTATAGTATAAAGTAGAATTAATTCTACTTTATACTATATATATCTGTGTTATGTTTTACTCATTTGTAGAGTGCTTTGTAAAATTTTTGAGTTGTAACTTTTGTGTATTCTTTTTATTATGTAGAATAAACATTTATTTTCCAACTTTTTACCTAGGCATTTTGTAATACATTAGTTTTTTTGGAACAAAAAGTCAAAAACAGAAATGTAAATACAAATTTGATCAGAATCGGTTGGCCGATCTTTTTATATTTATTATATTTGGGAAGAAGCTCACCACTGATGATGTTGTTGACTTCCCCAACAAGCTGGTTGGACTTGAGGAGCAGCTGACTCGTGTCGGTCTTCAACAACCCGCGATCCACCTGTTGGTCGTGGCCGACTTGTTCAGTCGCAGGCGGAAAAGTAGGAGTCGATAGCTTACGATTGAAGTACTGCTGAATGTTGTCAAGCTCGCTAAGTTTTCTCCTGTCATAAAGATATAAGTAGTTTTATATTGGCACAGTGTTTTTTTTTTTTTTTTTTTAAAGTGTCAAATGTAAATGAGTATTCTAGTAATTAATTATTGTGATGGTCAATCAATTAATCAGACAAAAAAAAAAAACAATTTTTTTATTGAACCACTTTAAAGATTTTTATATGCGATTAAAAATAAATTTGAAAAATTTTAAAACATATTTACACACAGAGAAGGATTTTCATCTTATATGCATTTTTTATAGTTTTATTTTAATTACTTGTTTGGGTATATTGTCTTTTCAACAAACAGCCTTTTATGAGTCTATATACTTAAATTACTTAACATTAATCGATAACAAATTTTTCTGGATGATAAATTGTCCCAAAACTTGTTAGGATAACCAATAACATTGTTGTTTTGAGACCATTTTCAAGTAATATTATTGTAACAATTGTATATTAATGCAACAACATATTGTCAAGGATAAATAAACTTTAAATTCTACTGAACATTTAAACAATGGAACTGAAAGATATTTGAAATATCCAAAGTAAAGAAAGAAAACAACAGAAACGACAAAATAAATTATAAAATCTGTGTAAAGAAATTTATCTTTCAAAAAAGGGATAGTTGAGACCAAAGCACCAGACTGAAAACTTTTATCATTCAGTCTTTGGTAAAAAATTAAAATTATTGAGTTTCTTTTAATTTATCATTCGATTAATTGATTTATTGTTAATTGTGTGACAGGCCTATTGCCAATTATTCTAGTCAATTCATCACAGTAACTCTCATTAACTGTTTCAGACCTAATGTCTAGCTAAAGAATGGGAATTAAAAAATTCATCTGAATACCTGAGTGCTGAAAACAAAAATGAGCTGGAGGGATTAACGTCGCCGGTCGGGCCGCCACACACAGACAGAGATGCCGTTTGTTCTTGCAGATTCTGGTGGTAAAGACGAACTTTGTCCATGTGCTCAAAATGGCGATCGTTCTCACTTGGCCTGCGACATGAAATAATTCATGAAAAGGACAAAAAGTGTTTGGATGTCGGGAAACTGTGAGGGTTCCAACCTTTCAGAGAAAGGCACGTCGTTGTGGTTTGGCGACGAGATCTTTTGCTCTGGGAATCTGCTGATGTGGGACGGGAAGCTGCTGTACATGGCTGTGGTTTGGTAGCTGAGAGGACTGGTCTGAAACAAAAATAAACAAACCCGTTCTCAGCTTGAGATTTAGAAATCACTAGATCTTACATTTCATCAAAGCGGCGCACTTACTGATGGGTTTTTGGCAGCTTCATCGTTGGTGTTTTTTCTCTGTCCACGGAGGTCCTGGACTCCCCTCAAAGGAGTTATAGACACTTTAATCTGACCGTGACACTGGCCACTGAAGTCTGTGATGTTGTACCAACCACACACTGACGGGAAACCCCAGAGTAAAGGAGACAGATCTACAGTGGCAAATCCAATCACCCGCTCCATTTCTGCAGACGTAAAACATCAAAACGGTTAAATAATACCACGGAACAAGCCAAAACATCATAAATCACAATTCATCTCACAATACCTCCTTTATGCCACACTTTGAACACAAGAAACTGATGTGGATCGACCAGCAGCTCCTTTGAAAGCCTGAAAATGAAAAGCAAACGCGTTAATTTGTTGCAAATGTGTTGCTTATTTTGAAGTCTGTGTGGAAAGCAGACCTGCACTCGTGCTGATGGTCCCACACAGGACAGTCTGTGTTGGTTACAACAGATGTGTAAACTGGTTCAGGCGAGTCAGCGGTGACGTATGAAACACAGCAACAAGGAGTTCCTTCAGTGCGCTCAGTAAGAGGACAAGCTGGGGAAAAAATTAAACACTTATTTGGTCTAATTCTCTGGCATCTAGAACATGGCGATGTATTTATGGGGATTTTATGTGATAAACACCCATTCACGACGTGTAAGGGAAATGATGAATGGCTTCCAAAAGAAAAATACATTTTTGCAACATCCCTTCAGGATACCAGAAGGGCTGCCTGTTGTTTTGAAGAAGAATGGGCAATAATTTCAGTGTTAAACATGCAAAGAAGGTAGTGATGATTCCTGAAAGATTTGTTTCTGTAATGACAGTCAAAGAGAGCCCTACAAAGGATTGACTGAAGGACTTTAAAAACACATGCACTCCTTAGTTTGATTGTTTCTTAATTTTGAAAACTATGCATCATTTTGCCTTTTCATGATGTGCAACTCTGTGTTGGCTCATCTTATAAAATCCCAATAAAAGTCATTAAAGTAAACATGAAATGGTCTACATAACATACCAACCTTTCAGATTGAGGTGCATGGCTCGGTCCACTGCCACAGTCACAGGGAAAGAGTCTTCCACGCTCACCTCTGCGTGATGCGCAGACGTCAGGTCTGGAGATTCCCTGGAGGGTTTACTCCTGTGTGTGCTGTGGGTGTGCGAGGATTTTCTGGGCGCGAACGGGGAGCCATCTATTTCTTCCACTTCCTCCAATAAGATCTCCTCCTGACTGTCAAAGTCCAGCTGGGTCTCATGTGCAGCTGACAGGTTTGTGGGAACGGAACCATCCAATGGTGTGATGTGCACCCTGAGAGCCGCGCCTTGTAGATCGGCGGCAGAGCGCATGAACAACGGGTACACTCCTACAGAAACATAATAAACAGAGTTTCTACATGTTTCACCAACTCAAAATTAAGACTTTTTAAGAGCTTTTTAAAAGCACAATGAATGAACTTAGCTTGTTAGGGTTTTGCTAGCAAGGGTTTTTGGAAGCTGGTTACTGGTAGGTTTGGACAATATAGCTTAAAACTGTATTGTGATCTAAGCATTTCATATTAGTCGATATGGATAATTATTAATTAGTTTGTTTTAAATATCTGAAGTACTGCCAAACTGGTGACATGACCACTCCTGATTTATCCACAGTTTTTACTTCGAGACAAAAACTTAAACCGTTGCTGTGCAAGTTACACAAGTTGTTGCGAGGAAACCAACGAGTGACTGACTTACTTAATGCCACTCACTTTGTTTTGCTGGCAGTGAGAGATTGAGCGGCTAAAGTCTTTCCTTTGCCTACATCCCCCAGAATGCTGTGCGTCTCTAGATCAAAGTTCAGTCAATATTCTATACATCGAACATTCTATCTGACGTATTATCTATTGATATTGATCAAGTATCTATCTTAGCCTTAGGTAGCTGTCACCTCAACCGCCTCGAGTCACAGAACCTAACAAAGACGTTTGTCTTCATTATGTTGCAACATAATGAAGTTTTTTACTAAACTTCTCCCAGACAAAAAAGTCCCAAGAGAAAAATAAACTACAGAGACTTAACAGTCCTGCCACAACAAAATTTAAGATCTGCAATTCATGTATTTAAGGCTAACTCACATTTTTCTAATGTATTTTAAATATTCTAAGGCTAATTTTTAGCTTCATGATTGTAAGAGTTTTTAAGGATACCTGGTCACTTTGAATTAGACAGTAAGTACTTTTATTTTTTTACATACCACTCAGGGACTGCTTCTGCTTGGGAGTCTTTGCTAGAGAAGCCAGACCAACAAATGCAGACCCCACCAGTCGGTCTGAGTCGCTTGGCCTCGTAGTCCTGTTTTTAGAGAAGGTGACCCACACTTGGACCTCCAGTTTTTCCTCACGCAGATACCACACCAAAGGCTGAGTGACTCTCAGCTCCACAGTTCTACTTCCTTCAAAGCTCACCGTGGCTTGGTCGCCCTCAACACATGGGTGCTTCAGTCGGGAGCAGACGGCGTCCTGGTCGAAGAACTTGTACCTGATGTAGCAGTAGGTAGAGCGCTGAAGCTCGCTCGACCCCGGAGGAAGCAGACAATGGACAGGAAGCCATGCTTTAGGCATTGAAAAAGTCAGTGACAGTTTTCTCATGCCTTCTTCCCAGGATTCTTCATCATCTTGCTGTGCCATTTCCCAGCCCAAACCCTCTGCAGCTTTAATCACCCTTTCTCTGTCTGAGTGGTGAGCAAAGCTGACGGAAAGCTCCAGGCCACCGACCAAGATGTGCTCCGGCTGTGAAGGACGTTTTTTACTAACTAAATAAAGCCCGAACCAGCCCGAAATACCTAAATGTTTGAGAAAAACATGAATTAACTTTTGTGTTTATTAAAGAGGACAGCTTGCCCCATCACACATTTTTTAAAAAAAGTAACAGACCTGTTCTTTTATGAATGAGATCAACCAATGGTATTTTCACAAAACCCAACATGATCTCCTTTTGCTCAGAAGATGCTGCAAGAGAACAGAACAAAAATGTTTTTTGTACTAAAACAAAAAAACTGAACTTTAACAGTATTATGACGCTCATCAAATTTGGGTCTGAGGTAAGCTGAGCTCCTCTAACCTTTTTGAATGTCTCTGTTCCACACAGTAAAGACAGCATACGCCTGTTCCAGTTGCTCAGCCAGGCTGCAGGTTTCCCCGCTGCTCATGTGCAGCAACAGATCACAGGCCACCTCCATATGGTGGTCGAAGTCGGGACAGAAAGTCCTGTTCGCAGTGCGGGTACACCTCCTCTCGCTGTCAGGTAAGAAGGACAGCTGGACTGTGACGAATGGGTTCACCCCAACCTCTGTTAAATGACTGGATTGATTGTTTTCTTCCAATAGTGCTCTGAAAGAATTGAAAAGAGGATGGAAGGGAAAAAGAACCAGGAGTTACTGTACTAATACACAAAACTTCAGCTTTAACTTGAATATGTTTCCAAAGCTTTGTATACTTCAGCATTTATCACTTCATGACCTTCCGTTTGTGAACATTACTCAAATAAATCACAGGAAACACTCCAATCTGTTTTGAGGTGGGTTTGATGGTGTACCTAGCTGCTGCCTTCAGCCCACACACTCTGTGCACTTGAACCACAAGCGTCACAACACGGGAAGGAGCTCCTCTACCAGCGTGTCCTTCAGGTCGGACAGGCCGGTGCTTGTAGCGAATGCAAATATCCAGCAAACCTGGGGAGAGAAAGAGGAGGACAAAACATGCTAGACACATTGTTATTGTTTTAGATATTGTCTTCGTCTGGATCACCTTTATAGATGTGCATGTGCTTACCTGAAGGCTGAGGTTGAAATCCTGAGTGGCCCTCAGTCCTTGGAACCAGGGGAAGGGAGAACATCTGAGCCTCGTTAGTTTGTTGTTTCTGCATGGTTGCCATGGCACATAATTTGGACAGGGGAAGCAATGCTGTGGCCACAAGCTGATCTCTGACATTTGGATAATAATATCTGCAACGAAACATGATAACAATCGAATAAACAAACCATCAGCTGTCAGGATGGGAAATGTTGGAATTTTAATGTTCCTAAATGAGAACAGCAACTTAGGGACATGTGTACAGTGTAACCATATTATGTCAAAGCCAGGACAAAATACTCAGTCTTTAAAGGTGATTCTTTGAATGGGTTAGGATAGGTCAATGGCCTATGCAAAACATATTCATAATTTTTTTTTTTTTATTATTCTTGGATGATTACATTTCAGTTTGCTCAGGGGTGTCTATCTTGAGCTCTGTTCTGTTCAAAACAAGCTGTCTTATGGTATCTTGTCACTATAAGTTTAAATACACTGCTGCTGGCCACACCCCCCAACTAAAGAGTGAACTTGCATGTGAAAATGGCTGCAAACAGATGCGCAGTTATACAACCGTACTTCTTTGAAAAGCAGAAGTGGACCTTCCTGCTCAACCATAAAAAATGCATCAAGTGGTTTCTGGATGGCAAGACAGCAACAAAACGCTTGAGTTGTCCAAGAGCTATTGCACATACAGCAGTAAAAACCAGCTGACCAAACCTCCTGGAGCTCCACTTGGGTTGCTAGGTGACAGGGAGCGCATTGCTGGGATTGTTATGAGACGGGCAGTGCCTGCTGATTTGTGACATTACAACGGAAGTTCTTCAAAACATTTTTCCAGACACCAAAAAACATGAACTTATTGCCAAAAAAGCACTTTCTTAAGCACTTAGGGTATTTTTAGTAGCTGTCAAAAGCCAAATGGAGGAATGAAAACATGCAATATGAAAATTTTGAATAACACATCCCTTCTAATATGACACTTACCTGCACCACACTTCAAACTGGATGCCTCCTCCACTACTCAGGCCTTGGCTCGATAGCGAGCTGAGCAGCAGTCGCTGGACAGGAATTCCTTCAGGAGCGAGAAGGACGTGAGTCTCGGTGTGGCCAAACACCGGGTCCGGGACGCAAAGAGTGGTGATGGTACGATACGGCTTCACGTTCAAGCCTGGTGGAGGAAGAATTTTGGCGAATAAGAAAGTAACATGTTGAGTTTAAATAGGCCTGTCGCATTGACAAATTTTACTGGATGATAAACTGCCCCAGAAACAATAAAGAATAGCAATAACATTGCTGCTTTTTCAAGTCATATATTGATAATGGCATTTTTATCATGTAAATGAACAATGAAAAGGCAATATCGGCTTCCAGAAGAAAAACAATTGGCAGCACATATTGGGATCAGTAAAAAGAATCGGTATCAATTAGGATAAAACCTGCATTGATCAATCTCTAATAAAACTGCAACCAGAAATAAAATTAATTATGATGCTTCTATGAGGAAATTTGCCATTCAAAAAATATTTATCATCACAATGGAAATGATCACTTAGTAATCCAATTAATCCATTAATTGCTTATTGTAACAAGCTTAGGTTTAAAGTTTTATTTTTATTTAAAGGCGGCCTTACTGCTCTCTATGAGGCTCGGATCAATGTTGGAGGCAGCGTTGAACTCCTGGGTGGGGAAACTGTACTGAACATAGCAGTCAGCCTCTCCCCACACTGTGGACTGCAGTGGGGTCAGCCCGCTGACTTTCTCCACTCTCAGAACAAACACATGCTCCCTCATAAGCCTCACTTCTGCTGCATTCACCTGAAAGACAAAGACTGGGGTTAAAGGTTATTTAAGAAAAGTCATTCAAATAAAGGTGTCACAATATTTTAGTATTTGTGCATCAACATAGTTGTACAAGTGCCTTTATGTAGCATAATTAGAAGAAGAGGGCGAGGCTCTGATTCTGTTTAAAATAAAATTCTTGACTGATGTAATCAGCAATTCTATTATTCACATCAGAAAGCAAATATGTCTAATACAAATAAGCGAAAGCAGAGTAACATCTTATATTACATATTACAAGAGCTGAGCACATACCTTTGTTTGTGGGTGTGGCTGGTGATCAAGCATGTGAACTGGTCTCACCCCTTGAGGCGACAAGTCGTACTCCTCATGTCTGGTGCGCTGGAGGGAGACGATCTGCTCTGCCCGACCCATGGCCAGAACAACCCTGAGGTTTCCCCTGCAGCAGCCTGAGAATACATCGACGACAGGCATGTAGCAGTCGACCCCTAAAACTGGGTACTGTGCCTGCAGAAGGAGCTGGGTGATCTTCGGGTCCCTGAAAATAAAAAAAGGAAGGGAAATATCGAATACAATTAAAAGGGTTTTCTGCTGCTCAGTTTGCAGTCCGTTTCGGCAAGTTGTCATTTTGATACCATGTGAGACACGGTTCACAAATAACTGTTAAGTTGCACAACAGCGCTCCTCAGAGGAGAAAGTAAATGAGGTAACTTTCAGCTTGTTCACTACTAACAGCAGCAGTCTGGATGGATGTAGGATAACACATTTTAAATCTATATGTTTGCTCATTTCTGCTGCCTCTAGTCTGAAGGAGTCCGGAGACGAGGGGCTGAAGCTCAAAAAACATGCCAAATGAAGGAGCAGATCGCTTGAGCAGGCATTAAGGAACCCCTGAATGGTTGCTATGGGAGATTCAAGGATTCCTCAAACATGCATGAAAGAATCAAGGCAAAACTCCAGGTATGTGTTTGATGAGGGAATGACATTATACCATGACATTAAAAAAAGGACAATTTTGCTTAATAACTCCCTATGCAGTTATAAAAAATGGACTTGTTTTTGTTGTCTTACCTAAATGACATGTAAAACTGATGTAAAGGTAGTTTAACGAGGCCGAAGAGTCGATCGTTCACAGAGCTTCCAGTTTTCTGCCATACTTCAATCACCATCATGTTATTCTTCATACGCTCTAAAAGTTTTGTTGTTAATCCCACTGGTGTTACCTTTAACACAAAAAGAAAACAAAAAAAAGTCAGATTTGGTGCATTTTGTAGTCTGTTTTATTCATTTTCAACTTTTTCACTGAAATATGTGTCCCAGCAAATCTACTCGCTTCTCTCCTCATACATCACGAGAGCATCTTTACATCCCTCTGCAGATTATTTGATGCACAATTAAATTAAAACCACAAAGTAGGTTGTGACGTCTGAATCTTCACAGAACATTACTTAAAGTGCTCGGACACAAACAGAAACGAAGGGCAGGAAAAGCTATTTAAAACAAATACAATGAAAAACACACAACTCTCTTAATATTTAAATATTCCCTGAGGAAAAGCTGATTTCTTTGTGACTTAAGTCTTCAAAGATTAAAGCAGAAAAGATGGCTAGCAACAAGCAGACATTTAGTAAGAATGGCAATAAAATGATTCAGACCGATGGAGACAGCTGAGTTTCTTGAACCCACCTGAACGAAATTGAAGGTGGGGTTTGCCTGGCCCCAGCTGACCGTGGATCTGGCCGTCTCATCACACCAGAACAGCTTACAGTTCAAGAAGACGTTTGGAGCCTGCTGCGGCCCACAGCTGAACTTCTTCCCGTCTGGAACCATGAGTAAAGCATGCAGAAGGATCTGGGGCTCCTCTTCGGCCTGAGAAGATTTGAGCGGAGATGTTCGGATTCCAGGAGGATTCAACGGTTTGCTTGTATGTGTCTGAGGAGTCCAAATGTTCAGCCTGGGATGATCCATCACTGGAGCCGTTAAGACCTCCATGTCAGAACGCTGAGATCTTCTAACATGTTCTCTTTCGGGGCTGGCTGCGATTTTCAAAGGCAGTGTGTCTCTCACAACCACATTCCCTGTTTTTTTATTAGACAAACTTTTGCTGTGTGTTCCTAGTTCTATGGAAACCTGCAAAATATATAGCAACTGGGTCACAACCCCTTAACTTTGTTGCTTATTAAAATAAACAGCAAAAGTGAAATAGAAAGCTAAAAATTACGGTGAGAGGTCCAACGTCCCGCGTTTCTCTGGTTCCCTCCGAGTTGCAAACCGGCAAAACAACGGACTGACTCAGCTCCTTGCTCTGCAGCAGACTGCGCAGAGCATGAACGGCCTTACCAATAAAAACAGGCTGCAAAAACAGAGAGAAAACATTTTTAGCACCTGTAACACCAACAGCTGATCAATATATTGAGCTGATTTAATTAACCTTATTTTAAAAATATATCTTAGATTAATAAAGTAGCAAATATTTAAAAACTGGAAAGAAAAAATACTTACATTTATGTTTAAAATTTGTACACCACCAGCAGAAGGTTACTGATCACACATTTAAATAAACTCTACAAAGCAGCGTAAAAATGTATCCATTTCTTAAGGATAAAAAATATAATTATTATTACAGTAATGATTAAAATACATTTGCAAAGGCTTTAGAATTTTTATTAAATAATCTCCTCCTTTGGCTTTTCCCTTCAGGGGTTGCCACAGTGATTCACCATCTCTCTCTCTCTATTTAGTCCTATTGTCTGCAGTGCTGTCCTCAGAATTTCTTACAATTAATTTCCCTTTAATCCAAAATTAATCACTTCCCTACTGTTTACTCCTCAAATGTTGACTGTCAGTTTTACAATATAACTGACTGTTTTGATCAGTTTTCCATTATTATTTCGCTTAGATCTTATGCTGTTTGCACACTTGTCATTTTATTTTTAACTTCTCTAAAACATTTTGATACAGTAGTCGCAAGTGGGAAGAGTATCTGTACGGCTGTCAGATGGTTGATAGTTTAATTCCCATCTTCCAGTATCTGTTTAATGTGCGAATGTGTAAATGATTAGGATGTTTAAGGGTGAATGAGGCTTTTTGTGTACCTGTAAACTGATGGGGTAGAAAATTTTGAATTAGTATTTATATTAATGTTTACATCTCACTGCCTGAAATGTACTTACTTTAAAAATAAAATGTATTTGTAGATGCTAACTAAAGAAGTAATCAAAAGTTGTGTCCGAGTTCACGGTCTGCATCCTTTCAAGGCTCGGTCTACGTAGACTGGGTCCTTCCAAGGCCGTGAATAAACTAAGACCAGAAGAGAGAAGCAGTGGATTCGGACAGGACTTCACCAACTCGTCCACCTCAGTGTAACTCATGTTGCCTAGCAACCTTGACAGAGTGAAACAGACAGCGAAGAAGAAGAAAAAATGACGCCGAAGTTTGTTTTTTAGTCATGAATTACTCTTGATTTCTGTATTAGTCTTCACCTTTTATAGTAAAGGCTGTTCCATAGTAAAAAAAGAAATCTGTGAATTTGATTCTAAAATGTTCAAACGTATTGCACGTTTTTACCAAGAATAAAAATAAGCAAATTATTCATTTTCAAATACAATACTCTCAAAATCTCGGATTAGCCATAAGTTAATTAAAACTATTACATTTGACGGCTTAACTTTAATCAATCAAACCGATTTGCTCAGGAATAAATGAAATATTTTAATAAACCAAACATTTTACAATTAAATGTCTGAATAATAGTGGTGTTTAATTTCCACTCATTGGCTAGCAGGAGTTTTGAAACAACGTGGCGGGAGTCAGGCGCTCTCCTCCGGTATACTGAACCTGAAGCGCCCGGCCAGCTGACAGCTGGCGAGGGGAGCTGGCTGTTAACGGAGTGGGAGCAGACATGTCAGAAAATGTCAGAGCAGGTTATGTTTTGGTGGACCGAGCAGATATTTGAGACTTACACTTACAATGTCGCCTACAAACGTTATACAAAATCACGTCGTGTCACTTAAAGTGTAATATAACAAAACAATTTGCCGCTCTTCACCACCATTGTCGCTCTGCCTGAACGCCCGGTTGGGACCCGTAATGAATTATGGGATATGGTGGGCCGTGAAGGATACGCCGGATCCATCCTTCAAATCTTCAAATCTGGGGAAAAGAAGGACGCATTTGGAGGCCGCTTGTGAAGGAGTTTTCGAATTCGGACAGGCCATGTCACCACGCTATGACCTAATCGGCCTACGAAACTGTCCTTTGAAGGATGCAGACCCTGAATTTGGACACAGTTAAATGTCTGAGTAACTCACTTTTTTCTGGTCACTCTTTCTTGAGTAAATCTTGAAAGTGAGCTCACTTTCCCACCACAGCTTGATCGCTGCGGCGCTGAAGTGGACGGGAAACACAGAGAGCTGGTGGAACTTCACAGCTTAAAGAAACACACAGAAACAAACACTATAAGGAACAGTTTTACAAAGCAGGGTCGCAGCTAGCGCTTTCTGCTTGACTTAACATTACAGTGTAGGGCTAATCTGTTGATTTTCTGAATTAACCGATTAGTAACTGGACACCAAAAGAAGCTTAAGACATTTTTTTACTGAATTTGAACCAGGTGAAGCTGAAACTACCATAAGATGAGTTCTGTATGGAACATATTTACTGACAAATGTTTCTTTTTTTTATCTTAAAAGAAAATTTTTTATATTTTTGTACAGCTTTTGGTTAATTACGGCTCTTAGTGTGTTGTTCTCTCAGAAATTTTTAAAGTTAACTCCAGTTAACGATTAATTAACTGGTTAATTAATTAATTGGTTAACTTCAATAACCAATTCATCAAGATTAATCTGATTTATGGCTCAGTTACAAATAACAACAAGAACAGTTACCTCCAAAAGTGATTTTACTGGAAACGGCTCTAGTCACGTCTACATCTCCACCTTTACTCCGCCCAAACTGACCAGAGGATGAAGTCATCGGGAAAACATACTCTACAAAATAAGTGCTATAAAAAAAGAGAAGAGATTCAGAGATTCTCAAATATAAATGTTACAAATGTTAAGATGATCTTTAGTTCAATTGAACATTACTAAATATTTTACCATTTCTTGCTGGGTAATGGGCGCAGAGGTTTCCCTTTGACGGTCTTCCTGGTTGTGGTGGCTGATCCGCCTCCAGGAACGGCCAGCGACTCAACGGTAACTCTTGCTATTCGGATTAGACTCAGTAACTTGAACTGCTCTTCACTGAATGAAGAATAGAGATCATCGCCACGATCTGCAAACTGCTGTTCATCTAAATTTGGACTGAAAAAAGTCAAAATGTGGGTCAGAACAGTCTGCCGTTTTTAGATGAAACCAAATGACTTTGGGATGTTTTTTGAGGATTTTACCTTTGGCCGATCCCAGGTTCAGATTGCCTCGATTTCTCTGGATGAGTTTTATTTGATGTTGTTGCTCCTTGACTGTTGTCCCCTCTATTGTCTAAATGCTTAAAAACAATAACTTAAATTAGTTGTTGGCTGAAAAATATAGCTAAAACTAAAAGATAAAGAGTAAGTACTCACAGGAGTTTTGTAAAACAGATTTTCCAGCAAGCTCTGATCGTAAAGCGGATCGTTGAGCTCGCTGCCTCCACACACACTGCTGTGGCCGGAGAGAGAGTCAGGAGGTGACCCCTGGCTGTCCCACAGAGGCAGTCCAGATGTCACAGAGCTGGGGGGAAAAAGAAAACAAATTTTAAAAAATACCTGGAAACAATTCAAATTTATTCTAAGAAAAAAAGGAAAATCTTATTAAACTTGCTCTTCTTTTTCGCTCGTATTTTATTAGCTTACCCTAATTAAGTCAAATTTCTTAATTGGTTGTTTTGTAGTTTCATTTGTAATTTTGTTTTAGTAAAACAGGACTCTGTGTTAAATGGGATTTTGGATCACAATCAGACAACCTGTATAGATAAAGGTCAAATAAAGAAATAAAAAATACAACATTTTGAAAAATGTTGGCAGGGGCAGTGTTTTGTATTTTCCAGGCACATAGTGACATTTCAAGTATGTTACCTTCGAAATGATGCATTTGTCAAATATGACTTAAAAGAAATTTGACTTTGTAATTCAACAACTTGAAATTCAGCCTCAGTCAGGCCTCAGGAAGTAATCACAACATCGCTCCTCTATTAACTCTTTAACAATGTTTTTGCCAGCGTTGCACTGAGAAGTAGCTCGTATAATGAGCTTAGCAGACGCGCAGTACCATAAGATGTTTGCTAATTACTGCTGGCTAATCTAGAGGAACAGAGAGGGGGAGCAACAAGGGAAGAACTGCTCTGTAATGCAGAAGCTGGGAAGATTGGAAACTGCAGGTCAGAGGATGAGCTGCGTGTCCAAGGCGGTGCTTAGTCTGGACATTTTGCACTACTGAATGGCTGCCATGGAGATGAAAAGATTTCTCAAACATGCATGAAAAAGTCATAGCAACACTCCAGTTATGTTGTTGACAAGGCAATAACATTTTAATATGATGTAAACCTCATTATATAAAATCACCCCTTTAAAAGAGTTCTACAAATTACTAATTTAAAAGGGAGTGAACACAAAACCACTCAATTCCAATAAAATGTTTTGCCATTTGTGATTGAGTAACAACACTAGGAGAAAAAAGTGAGTCTACCTGCCAAGCAGCAGATCCACAGCTCTTTTGTCCATGTCTGGCAGACAATCCAGGCCGCTGTCTGAGGGGAAGGCTCCATCCCCAGAGTCTGCATGCAGGATATCCTGAAGAAACATACCTGATGTAAAAGGGAACAACCTGCAAACATAAAGCAGGGTAGTAGGTATAAAAATAACTGTGCATTTCTGGAATCTTTAAAAAATTAAAGCCACTGACTCTTTAGGTGTTTGGATGTTGTTCTTAGGTAGAGGTAGAGGACTGTCCTTCAGAGGCAGAGAAGAGTCGACGTTACAATTCAGAGCTGACTCCAACATTGCATTCCTGAGCTTGTTTCCTCGCTCCAGAATGACTGCAACCAGAAAAAGGTTAACAGTTATGACTGATCATTTTTGCTTTTGCACATTTGTGATTGACTAGCTGCGTTTCTATTACCCATAAAATTGTGCAAACTGAAATTATGAAAATAAATAAGCCCGATTTAGAAAAAGCTAGTTTTTTGATAAACGTTTTGAGCTAGAATGAGATAAATAGTTGACCATAGCTAAAGAGTCGGATTTCACAAAACTGCAATGGAAACACTTTTTATGTGTCACATGAGTCACGTAATGAACAGCCGAATGTTACTATTTATGGAAACGACTAAGAAGATAACAGGAAGTAGTAGTGCGATGATGGTTTGTTTTGGGGGGTTTTTTGGAACAATGTGCAGCTGGCTCCACAAGAGCTCTCACAGCATCACACAGTTCACAAAAATGTGTCATTTAAGTGTGTTGAATGCATAACTCTTCCATAAAATGTCCGCCTACATGTTTTTTTAATGACTTATCGCGTGAACAAGCTTATTCACATGTTATTTTAATTTAATTTCTTATTTAATGGAAACACTGCCATTGCAACATTGTGTTCTTTTAATTTTAGCAGAATATAGACAAATATTTGCGCTCATGAGATGAGCTAATGATGTTACTGCTGACCTGAGATGATGTCATTATTTCTTGTCTCCGCTGTCGAGGGATTCCCAGCAATTTCGCTGTTTTGAAGTGTGCTGGACGTAGGAACCTGATTCTCCAGCGTCTTCTTCTGGACATTTTGAAAATACAAGTGGTCTTTTCCTCTAAAATGGAGAAAGCAAAAAGCAAAAGACATTAACAGAAGAGACAAGCAAGGGAGAGTTTTGTATGGGTATTTGTTCAGTAACTTTCCCAAACCTTGGTGTGTTCCCACCACTGCTCCCGCCAGATTCTTTCCCACCTCCAGTGGTGACGACTACTGGCGGCGGGGGGTCCATCATTTTGGGTACCTGCAGTTTATCAATGCTGGTGTCTGTGCCAGGGGCCGAGTTGCTGCTGTCGAAGGCTTCAGTCAGAGGCTCCAGATTTAGGGAGACCTAAGAAGTCAAGATTGGAGATGAAAAACAACATATTTTAGTATCCCACAATATTTAAGTTATACCTAAGTCTGTAAAAGGCAATTGAACAATTAATCTCATGATGAATGAGCTTCATAGTTTCCATGTTAGGACAATTTTTTTTTAAAGGCATTTTTGTTTACAGAAACATTATCCATTTTATTTATGTTTTAGTTGTGTGTGTTTTTGTTTCCTTTATTTATTATTATTTTTGGTTGTTGTTTTTTTTCAGATATTTAAAATATCTTTCAGTTCCAGTGTTGAGAGTTCTGTACAAAAACTAAAGTTTGTTAGTCTTTTGGATGGAGAACTTGGATCATTATGCCATGATCATCATATTACTTGAAAATTGTCTCAAAACAGCAATATCATCATTTATCGCAATAACTACTAGGACAATTTATTGTCCATTAAAGTTTGTTACTGTACACAAAGCTTTGAATTGATCAGTCTGCTCACCTGGACTTCTCCCAGCTTTTCTGAGGTTGGCGACACCAGAGTGTAAAATCCACTAATAGGCTGTGACACAGACAGACGGTAGATACCATCAACTTGAGCCCGAGCGACTGGTAAATGATCCGGCTTAGTTAAAACCTCCAGCACCAAAGAGCCCATATCTGTTCAGAAAAAAAGAGCTATTGATTTGTAAAAGCAAAAACATGACAGATCCATCCATCCTTTATCTAAACATGCTTATCCTGGGAGCTGGTGCATTTTCTAGCAGTAATTGGGTGAGAATGAGGGTACACCAGGGCAACACAGAGACACAGAAAACAACTGTGCACGTAGAATGATGAACCTAACAGACATGTTTTGGACTGCAGGAGGACGCAGGCAGACCCAGAGAGAAGATAATCACCTGTAAGATATGAGGTGAACTGCTTCGGGCTGCAGCGGATTGCGTAACGAGCTGTGCTCTTGACGGTTCTCTGAGCCACCTGGGATGCATCTCTTGGAAAGAAGTGGGTGCCATTGGATGACTCGCCCCACCAGCGCACCCTGATGAACGAGGACGTCGGAGGCTTGTGGACTGTCCATAAGACCCTGCTCACTGTCACACACAGGAAGCACCTCAGCTGACCCTCAACGAGAGGGGGGAGGCTTGTTGAGGGAGACACATCGCTGGGGACTGACAGAGTGATGTCAGGTCACACCAAGCCGGAGACACACAACACACAGTCACTTAAAAATTTATCCAAATTTTATTTCAGTCCAAACTGGTCTTTGCTATGCGTCATGCAGGCCTAACTGACAGGAACATGTTCAATAGATCTGAGACAGAAAATAACTTGTGTAGAAACAAGAGCTCTCACTTTCACAATGTGTCTCTGTCACAAATGAATGAAACATTTGTCATGTTTAATTCATTTCATTTATTCAAGCAATTCACAGTATTTAGAAATTTGACTCAAGGTACTGATTCTTACTACTAATAATATTGAAGTAAAAGTAAAAAGTACGTAATCATAAAATACATTTCCCCAAAAAAGTTATTGAAGTAAATGTAACTGAGGAAATGCAGCCACCTCTGGCTGTAAAGGATAAAATACCGAGTTATAACATATTGAGTATTGTTGTGAGTCTTTTGATCGAATCAAAAATGTCAGTAGGCTGCAGAATAGTGAGAAATTACATTATTTATATATGAAGTTTTATAGCTTTCGTGTACGTTCTTACGAAAGTGACAATTGGTTGAACGAGCTACCTAGAAGTAGCATAACATTAGCATGTAGCTACGTTACATTTACCTTTTCTTTTGTGGCTTGCAGCTTTGGCAGACTTCTGTTTCTTACTCTTCATTCCTCAGTTCAGTAAAAACAGACCGTAACTGGCAGTCTCTCCGAAACAGAGCCTGAACGCTTCGCTGACATGTTTCTTATCGCTCTCCGGTGAAGTAATAATCAGTTTAACTGGAGCTAAACTAGCCGCGCGCACACACAGGAACACACAAGACTAACAAGCGCGGAAAACTGTCTCCGAGCAACAAGACACACTTCCGCTACCACCAGGCATTACTGATGCATTCTGGGGAATAGAGTCTGCTTCTTTCCCTCTCTTCCTTTTCTTTCTCCTTTCTGTCTTTACTTCTTTTTGGGTTTTTTACTTGGTTATTTCCTTCACTGCGACACCTCGGATTACAACGATGATAATTAATTTTTTTATATTGATTACCTCTTTTTCCAATTACTAATAAATGAAATGTGATGTACATCACGGAAAACACTTCAGTATACCAACATTTCGTCAGAATCCCTTATCAAAATTATAAATATATTAGCTGATTTAATGCGCATGCAAAATGTTGCATGCGCATTTAATGATCAAGAGTAATGGGAATGTCTGGAAAAATGAAGATGAATACGCCGTCTCCAGTTTTATCTGGAAAATAGTAATTTTCAAGGCTGAAGCCGTTTTTTTTTTTTTTTTGCGCATGCAAAAAAATATTGTTTTCTGTTGTTGTTGGGGTTTTTTTGTTGTTTTTTTTTTTCTTTTTACAAACTGATAAAATAAATACATGTTACCATAAACAGTTTTTAATTTGGGTTACAAATAAATGAATTAATTAAGTTTTCAATACTGTTGATATGTTTAAAACATGAGGCATCACAAAGACGCCCATCTTGTGCACCACCAGCAGAGGGAAGCACTGACCTATCACATAATTTCTATGAAAAACGATGCAGAAAGACTCTGTAATGACATGAATAATTCAAACCCACTCACATGAGGGAATTTAATCAGGTTGGAAACCACATGAGTTGCATATTCAGTTTGTTTTTTGGGCGGATCACTTAAAGCTTCTATTTTTCTCCAGTGTTTGTTTTTGACAGTTTGTTTCAGAATACCAAAGATCTTCTCATGCATGTTGTAGGTAGTTTGAACAGCCGCTGAGAATTACCCTGCATGTTTGCTGTGGTAACAGTGAGAGCTGCACTGTGAGTGTAGGGAGAGGGGAAAAAATAATGTCACATCAGTGACTTTAGTTTTCCAAACTTTCTGGTTCATTCGACTGCAGATCGGACATCCTAACAGCATAAACTTCTAAACTTAATTAAAGCCCATAGTGTAAGTAAACCACATGATTACCAGTTATAAACAATATAAGCTCCAAAATGTGTTTTTAAATAATGCTGTCAAAGTCCAGTGGTCACTTTTGCTGTACATTCAAGCTTTTCACGAGAGCTTCCAGCGAAAGAATACAGAGGAACCTTCCTCTCTTTAACAGCTCCATGGGAAAATATTGCTCAGTGTGTGCGCAGGAATGTGCAATAGAGATCTGTTACATGCTCTCTTCATATATTTTCTGTGTGTTTGCCTGTGGCTGGAAAGGCTAGCTCAGCTGGAAAGAAAATTTATGTCTCTGCGGGAACAAAAAAGTATTAAGTTTAGATCTCTGCCAGTCAAGCGGTAGAACGTTCCCCACAACATTTCCATGCAGAAGGGTTCGGTGGATTTGAGATTTTAATACTCTACGAACCAACCTCGACCTGAAAATAGGTTGAGGTTGGTTCATAGAGTTACCAGGTATTTTGACACACATCTGAGAAATATGCACTCAAGGTCAGCTGTGTTTATTCAGCGAGATTTAAAACCAGTCAGACTAACAGGGATATAAGTATGAGACATAGATAGAGGCTGATTTAATACTTTATTTGTTTTGTTAGACCACGTTTTCATCAGTCTGAGTGAGAAACAGTGACAGTGATGAGACTCTTCTATCAGGCGTGACAGAATGAGATGTTTTACGCAGTCTGAACTTTACATTGTCAATGATGACCAAATTTAGGACAAGTTTCATTTGATGATTTACGTTGCGTGCCCTGCACGAGCATCTTCCAGCATTCCTGCGAAATGCAAGCAATGTAAACACTCCTCCACTAGCATGAAGTGACTGATGGAAACAGTTGGTCTTCATGGGCTGATTTTGCTCCACCTTCACCTCCACATCCACAGCAGAACTGTCAAGGCTCCCTGGGGCCCCGGGCTCCAATCAAAGAAGTAGGTTGGCCCCTTCGGTCCCTCCCTCGTCTGTGCACACACACACAGACACACACACATGCTCTCTCTCTCGTCTCTTCTTGCCAACGTGCCTGACAGTAGTAAAGGCTTGTGCTCCCTCTCACTCCTCAGGGTTCAGGCTGCAGCGACGCTCAAACTCTTGGCCGTACTCGTGGATCCATTTGTTGGCCACTGTGGCACAGAGACATATTGGAACTGCTGTCAAACAAAAATAAGCAAACAGCGTTGACAAATGCATCTCTTTTTCAGCCTTTCCAAACACGTTTCCAACAAGCATTCCCATCTGCTTTTGCACTGCAAGTTGTTGTTGACCTGCACAGCGACTACTTTTGCAGCTGCTTCCCAATTATTATCATCATTATTAATGTGCTGAGGTCAGTTTAAATAGCCTGCGAAACAGATTTCACTTGTCTGAGCCAACCGGCAGCAGATGTTCACTTTCCAAGATGAGCCCTCAGAGTCTGAACTGCAGAGTTCGATGCACACCAGCAGCAGAAACATACTCAGACTCAAAATGAAACACAGATGGGCTCCAGCTCTCCTGCATGAGGAGATCAGATTAATGTTTCTGGAAGCTGACGGCATTTCTTTGGACTTTCAACAAAAGTCTCGAGCAGGAACACAAAGTCTTACCCCACTTGTCACCGATGAGCACCGGGCAGCCAGCATGCAGAGTGTCTTCGTCTCCCTGACCATTTCTGTGGAGGTTCCACCAAAAGATGGCAGCTTTCTAAGAAATACCAGAAAGAACAGATTTTAATATATTGAATATATTTAACACAATTTAATTTTTACAGCACCTCCTAAATTAAATCTAATTAATACCAATTTACTTGAATTTGTCCAGTTTTCTAAGAGGTCAAACATGTTATCATGATTTGTAACAGGGGTTTCAGGCAGTACATCTCTATGTGTGATTCCTTCTTTTTTATGCAGAGTTAAAACGCAACTAAGATTCCAATTACAAGACGTAAAGTAAACTCCACAAAACATTCAGATGGTTTCCATTCAGAGAAAATATGTTGGTAAAATTAAAAGATTACTTTAAGCCCAAATTTGCCAGGAATATGAATGATTGCGCGACTTAATGGAGTGACATAAAAGAGTTTCCTGGCAACCAGAAAAGAAAACCTCAACTTGGATGCAGAGCTGTTGGTAAGAAAATCTCTCCATTTATATTTCTTACACAGCTGGATTAGAAGCAGTGGGTGAATGTGAACGTAACTCAGTCTTGACGCCGACACATAAAGTTAGGAGAAACGTCTTGATGATAACCGAAGTTTTTTACCTCCACAACTGGAACACTGAAGTTGGCATATATGAAGGCCGTCGAGCCGCCAGATTCCACTGAGCTGAGCTGTGGAAAATAACATTCCTTTAGAGCAGCGTCTTGTGCTTATGCCTTGATGTAACAAATGCAAGTGAAATTTGCCAGTCGAAATGTTTTAGGGATCGTTATTTCTCGCGGCTATCACATTTTACGATCAGTTTATTCACATGTAAAAAGGAAATTGCTGAGAAAAGTTGTAAATATGAAAGTCAGAGTAGCTGGAAAAGCATCGTGCGATAAAAGGGTTAGGGTTACGCAGGGGCTCATCCGGTAACCGCCGGATGAGCCCACGGTAAAACTACAGGAATCTGACCAGCAACCTCAAGCCAAAAGCGTAGATTTGACTTACGTAGATCATGAAGGTCGACATGCGGTTCCCACTTCTCAGCTTGAAAACAGGACTGGAGGGAGACTGGTTTTAAAAAGACACGGAAACACTATCAACACTTAACCAACACATGCAGCACCTTGTAAATGTGATATTTGTCCTTCAACTTTATCATGTGTTGTCATGTTACAGCAACCAACTTCCGTTTATTTTATTGGTGCATCAATGTGTACATAGAATAGTACACTTACATTAGAACACCTTGTGGTTGAATGGCCTAGTCAATGACCAGATGTAAATCCAACTGAAAATCTGTCTACTCATGAAAACTCTCAATGTGATCTGACTGAGCACAATTGGTTTGACCAAGAATTAGCAAAGATGTTGACTCTCAATGAGGCTTTTTTAAGAAACATTTCATTAGTAGTGTTTTTTAAAGGTTTTGTTGGCTCTAGGTTTTGTTTGACAGGAAACAGGGTAATGAGAGAGAGGGGGAAGACATGAGGCAAATGTCTCTAAGCTAGGAACTGAACCTGCAACCATCGCCACGAAGACTAAGGCCTCAAGAGGTGGGTCGTGCTTTGCCCCGGTACCACCACAGCACCCCTGACTCTCAATGAGGCAGACTGCATTAGACAGGCACCCACAGAGTTAGAGGTGTAACCATGGTGATGAGAGAAATAAGAGAAAATGGGCGTGAACAGACATGAATGCCACACTTCAAACTTTAATCGGTAAAAGATTTTGAAGTCCATGCTCCGTTCAATTTACACTTCAAATTCATGCATGGTTTTGTGTTGCTCTCCCAAATAAAGGGAAATAAATACAACTTTGTGCTCAAAATGTGGAAAAGTGCAGAAAAGTTTAAGGGAAATGAACTTAAAGCTAACCAAGTTACGGCAACCAACTTGTTGACTTACTGTGGCGTGGTCAAAATGCGGCTCATAGTGTCCACCAATCCCATAATTCACCACCTGCAGGAACTCGCCATATGGGTGTGTCACGTTCAAACCCGTCACCACAGAAATCCTTCGGTCCAACCTCTCAACGGTGGAGCCCTCCGAGCCCTTCAGCCACGCACTAGAAATGAAACATACCTAGTCAGTTTGTTATGCCTCTGGATGTTCTGATGCACACCAGCAGCAGAAACAATAGTTTAATTATTATTTTTTTATTTAATTTTTTTTTACCTCTTGCTGATTCGATAATCTGCTGTTTCCTGCTTCTCTCCAGCTGCCACCACGGATCTCTTCAACTTATTATGAAAGGGCAGAAAATAAAATATGAGAAGTTTTATTTAGACTTTTTTTTTCTTTTTTTACTGTTCAAGCTGTTAACATGAACCGCAAACTGTGTCACTGCACATGTTTTTGGACTGACTCTCTCCACTTCTCTAAACCACTAAAAGTAGTTGGCAATCACTTTGCTTTCTGCTAAATTTATGTTTGCCAATCGCCAACAGAACTATAAAATGGCCACACTCTGTGGAACAGAAACCTGATATTCAAATCAACAATAAAAAAAAATAAATTGCAGTTTAAACTCCTCGGATACCGAAGTGGACAGCGTCCTATCGTGAAAACTCGCGAAATATGCCAAAAATCTCTAAATTGAGAGACCTGTTGGAAACGACTCCAGAGCCTAAAGTGCCTCCCATCGCTGTACCACGGGCCTGCTTCCAATCAGCCCGCAAGCTGACAGCGATGACATGAAAACTGACCCTCCATCCGACCAGCGGACAGAAAAACTCTCAGAGAAACTTCAAAGAGACTAAAGAGACATCATCCTAGTTAATCCACCAAACGGTTCCTAAAGTGCATGAGTCAGCATGCTGAGAGCAAGGAGAAAGGTTTCTGTTAAATTTCATCTTTGCATGAGGCTCACAGCGTTTTCCTGGCAAAGCTCAGGGAGATATTTTGCTCTACTGGAGGAATTTAGCTAAACAACAAAAAAAAGGGGGGTTCATGCTTCAGAAAATAGAATGCCATTTGCGTTTGAGAGAAGTTGAGAATGGATTGTACCATCTTGAAAACCGGAAGAGCATCTGACTGAGATGCTGAAGTGGTCATTTGATTTCATGAAAAAGAAACACAGCTCCGATATCTGGTTAAATGGCTGGGAGTTAGGAGAAAATTAAAAAGGACAAGAGTAAAAATAATAACTTTGAGCTTGTTCCTCAGGAGGGTCGCATTAAATGCAAGGGGCCAGAATGATGGAATATGATAAGAAAGCAATAAAACAGAGAGCATGAGGAGGTAGAAGAAATTTAAAAGCAAACAAATATGAAAATAAACATATTTTTCTACACATTGGGCGCATAAAGGAGCAGCATTATGTACTTTCTGGGCACATGGTGCCATTATATAGCACAATCAAATAACTATATTACCTTGATTTGTTGTTATAATAATGCTGTAGATGTCACACATACTTTAAAGAAGTTGGAAGTAATCATTTGATGCCTTGAAATTGGGTGTCTGTCTCTTTAAGGAACCCCTGCTCTTTCCAACAGTCCACTTCCTGCATATTGTCATAACAATGCTCCTCATTATGCCGTTTACAACTTTTCTTAGGAGTGTTGGACTGAGACTGTTCCTATGCCAAACTCAGCAGGCATATAGTTCCAGCAGGTGTTTGCTAATTGCTGCTGCTGCTAGTCTGGAGGAGCAGAGAGAGGAAGGCATGTGGCAGGGGTGTCCTGCACCCCAGATGGTTGCCACAGGAGACTCCAGGATTCCCCAAACATGCACAAAAAAATTAAAACAACACTCAGAGTATATTTTTGATTGTAGAATAACATTGTAGTATTACATAATGCTCAAAAAAGTAGATTTTACATAAAACCATTCCTTTGAAAGATAAAAGCTGGTCAAAATGTTAGGCATTATTCTCTTTACTAATACAAAGGAATTAAAAAAACTGTCTGAACTTCTGCTTCAGAATCGCTCAACAAATCCAGAATCAAAACAAATAAAAGTTAAACGTTTACGCTGGAAAACAATATGCTCCAGCAACGATCACCTACGCCAGGCTGGGCGAGCTTCTTGATGTCATCCGCCTCAGTGTCTGTGAGGAAGTCGTGGTAAAGCTCCACATGAGGCTGCAGGCTCAGGACCTCCCGCCTCACAGGCTGCAGGATCAGTGCAGGACTGTTGTTGTTGGTGAAGAGGTCACAGAACAGTCTGGGGTTTTCAAAGTGCATCGG